AAAATTTGATACAATTTATTTTTTAAATATATCAATAGTATATAATTTATCCTGAGAAAATTTGATACAATTTATTTTTTAAATATATCAATAGTATATAATTTATTAATCTTGCGAAAATTTGATACAATTTATTTTTATATTATACTATTTATTAATTGGTGAAAATTGATGAAATTGATTTATTTAAGTTTAATCATAAATATCAATGGTTCGTAAAAGTTTATTTTAAACTATTAAATAAATATATATATATAAGTCTAATTTTTAGACAGACTTTTTTTTTTCTTTCTCGCTCGTTACCAATTTTTGTAAAAAAATCCTATATTATTCTATACATAAAAATTTACCAAAATTGTAAATACATTCAAATATGACTAATAAAAATAAAAAAGACAAAAGTCAAAAAAATCTAAAAAACGTCACCATTCAGATAGTGATTTGGATAGAAAATCTGATAAGCAGAGTAGTACCAAACAAGGGTAATTTAATTTGGTTGATTTTTATCAATTCTTTAATTTCTTAATATATTACTTATTCTTCACAATCGATATCTAATGAAAGTGATCCTGAGTTAAGACGTACAAAAGATGACGATCAGAACCTACGAAAAAACAAAGCCTGCTTTAATTGACATTGTTCAGGACAAGGGAAACAGTGGTATATTTTGAAAATTTATGTTAATCATGCGCGATTGAATTCAATATATCACGAATCTAAAGGATGTGAAATAATGAAAGTCAAAAAGCCTATTTTTATTGATTTAGTTGACGAAGATGACGAAGGAAATGATGATACGATTCAACAGAATGAGAGAAATAATGACCAATCGACTCAACAGAATGAGAGAAATAATGATTCCAATAAATCCGGTATGTAGTTATATAAAAAACTATCACAAATCGATTTAGTTTTAACCTGATTTCCTTTTGTAGCTTTACAGATGCAGGTTGAGGAGTTGACTCGCCTGCTTAAGACTGTTACGAAAGGAAAGCAGAAGGTAACTGATCCAAAAGAAAATATTATTGACTGGTTCAACATGGATCTGGAAACTCAAGGTCCAAAGAGCCGAAAGAACCAGTACGTGACCAGGTTATTGAATAAGCCTAAATATGTGCAAAAATACGGTATATCAGGATCGTCAAAAAGTGTGTGAAGCAGACTATCTCCATCCCCATCCCCATCCTCTTCCTCTTCATCTTCATCAACTTCATCCTCACCATCCTCAAAATCGGCACCATCCTTAAATTCAGCGCCATCCTCAAATTCATCATCGTTTCTTCATTACGAAGAAATGAATAGGGATCAGAGGAATGCTTTAAGAGTACTGTATTTTATTTTAATTCGTTTTAATTATCCGAATTGCTGCTAATCAATTATGAACCGTATTTTATTTTAATTAGTTTTAATTATCCAAATTGTTGCTAATCAATTATGATAATCTCACGATTAGGTGAAATAGTCGAAATAATAGACTGACTTCCAGACGATAAAAGTCTAAATATGAAAAAAACCTTTGAAAGTCAACGAAAAAAAGTGAATAATATCATACTGGTTGTTCAAAAATCAATTAATAAGAAGTTCTTCCCAGTGACCGATGGCGTCATTAAACATGTCATTCATGAACGTCATCAGCACCAACGGGAGGAACTTCTTAATGCAAGACGAGGTGCAAATTGGGTAGAAAATGATAAAAGAAGGCGGCACGCAAATTCCTGACGAAGTGATGCAAATATTAAATTATTTTGTTTGATATTACCTTTTCTTATTAATAAATATTTCCTATTATTTATTTAGAAACGTGAATAGAGCTCCGAATGGGTCAGGTCAGGTCAGGTTAATTGATAAACCTGACCTGAATTTTTTTTCAGGTCAGGTCAGGTCAGGTTACCTGAATTTGGCTGACCTGTTCGGAGCTCTATTGTTATCTCTATTCAATAAACTATCATGATCAAAAATACAATCATCTTCTGAACTATCAATATTTGTTAAAATTCCACAACTTTCAAAGGATCTTTGAATAAGATTTTCATCAACTTCGTCCCATAACTCTTTAACCCATATTGTGACTGTTAAATAAAAAGGTCTTTTAATCTTTCCCGCTAGAGTAAAAGCATGAATATTTGATATCATCCAATTATTATACCGATCTTTAACCTATAATTTTACTAATATTAATAACTAATAAGAATAAAATTAAAGTAAAAAGATCGAATAATATTACCTTAGATTTAAAATTCTTATTAATTGCAATGTCTAATGGTTGCAATTTGGATGTACAACTGCTAGAAATCATAGCAATGTTTGTATTTTTTCTACTAATCAATTTTTAACAGAATTCACTATATACTCACAAAAAGAATCTAATACTAACATAGAATGTGGATTTCTAAAACAGTTCCTTGAAGTCCAAACGTTTTCAACCCACCACAACATTTCCTGTTTATTAACCCATCCTTTTTCATTAGCTCTTATGTAAATACCGTGTGGAAATTTTTCTTTCAAAATATTTTTCAGTTTGAAAATGCAAACTGCAGGAAGTTTCGTACCATCAGCCATACATACAAGTATAACTGTAAATAATAATTGTTCATGACCAGTTGTACAAATACTTACTGTTTTTGCTTCTTTTTGGTTTATAGTTGTATTGTTTGGCAAATTAAACCACATGGGCATTTCATCTATATTGCCTATATATTTTAGTTTATATTTATTGTGAATTCTTAGGTACATAATATAACTCAAAAAAATATTTTGCTTTTCAATTAAATCTAATGGCAGTTGCTGTGCTACTGTTATTTTATGACGTTCACTAAGGTTATATCTTCCTAGAAATCCATCAAGCCACTTATTAGAAAATTTGAACCCAACAATACCCAAATTATTTGCTAATAATTCTGGACTTTTGGATAAAGAAATGGCTTTATTGGTAATTAATTTTCAAGTAATGGCATTTCCATTGGCTCTTTTTTTTACTTATTTATGCAAATAAATCATCTTCTAATTTTGGATATTTGGCAGGTTTATTTGAATGAAGTTTAGCCACATGAGAAGCAGTTATTAATAAAGTTCCTTTTTATTTTTCCAATCACGCAGTTGTTTAGGCTGAATATCAAATCTTTTGGCAGTTCCACGTATATTCTTATTATTATTTTCATAATAATGCACTATCATTAATTTTTCCCATACATTCCATTATTTTCGTTTCTTTTGTAGTAAATGATTGCGTGTTTTTTTATTTTTCTTGTTGCCAATAACTACCATTTTACTTTTAGCAGAAAGAAAAAAAATGCATAAAATAAAGACACGTAAATTAAATAAAGACATTTTATGTATGAATTAGGGGTATTTAGATAAGTAATTTTGTGTAAAATATCTTGAAAAAGTATCAAGATATAAGAAATAAGATACATTTGGAAATTCTTAACGAGAGATTACATCATAGTGATTATCTACAATACCCAGATATTATACATGGCAAGTACCCTGGGTATTTTAAAAATCCTGTACCCCTCCTATGTATAGTACCCACTCATATAATATACCCCCAGATACAGGTCAAAATGCCCAAAATTTGCAAGATACCCAGGGTATTGTGACCCATGATATACGGTATCATCTAAGTCTGTGATATATGTATTTTAATGGTGAATCGCATATAAGTTTCATTTCTGATGATTTAATCTTATATGCCTCATATTCTGAAATTCTGATAAAGTATATATAATTATACTTTTTATGAATACTATAATATCCAGAATTCCGTAGCCATTTTAACATGTCAAGCCAATATGTACCTCTAATAACTATATAGCCTTGCTGATATAATAATTTCTTAACAAGTATGAATGTTGCAAAAGATAATTGTTGCTATAATTGGGCTCTCTTTTTATATATCCAACTATTTTTTGCTGAAAAGCAATATTTCTCATACCAAATTTGTCCTGAAGGATTATATCCTTCAGTTTTTATACCTAAAAACTTCATATCATCAGGAGTACTATCATTCCTCACCGTCTCCCAAACTCATTTTGCCAAAGATTTAGGTCTTTTTTTGTAATTCCTATAAGCTTGCTGGATAACTGTTGCATAGAAATTCTCAAACTGATAGTTATAATGTCTCACAATCAAGAATCCCCAAGATTGCTTCATTGATCTAAATACTTTAAAATAGATTAGAAGATCTAACCCAGAATAGGCAGATCATACATAGCGTCTACAGGTGATACATTTCACAATTATACTAGGCGATCATGTATGCAGATTACAGTATATAGCGCAAAAAAAATAAAGTTATGTTTGGCTAAATATAGTTGAGATATATAATATTAATAATATTCAGTTAAAAGATATTAAGTCTATCTCCCGCACGGAATCAAAATATGCTTCAGCATCAATCAAGACCTGGCTTCTTTCAAATCTATAGGCTGAAATCTCTAGTGCACTTGCACTACGTCGCATAGTGTATCTCTCGAAGCCACTCATTAATGCAACAGGCTTTGGTGGCAAAGGAGGAGAGGTCAAAGAACGTGGCTTATCCATCCAAGATTCCCTTTGGAAATCGTATCTCTGATGTTGGACAGGTTTTTTCAGAAAAGGAGGAGTTGAGAAAGTATTGTTCATATGGATGGTTATAAATATAGTGAGACTTGCTACATTACTTTGCACCTTATGCTTTTGCCTGATACGTCGAATCCTATTTGATACATTTTCCAACCACATCTCATATCGACGAATTGCTTTCTTTGTGAAATAGCAAGGTGAAGGATTATTTTTCAGCTTCATATAGTCTTCGAAGCTCATATCACAATATTCATTTTCAGTACAATTTGTACGCCAATGCTTATCCATAAAGAATGCATGGAAATACTCATACCCACTTCCTAATTTGGAATAGACGAGCTGATTACAAGAATAATATATTCCTATATTTATTCTAAACCAAACATCATACTGATATAATAAATATGTTTGTTTTCTAGCGATAAAATATCTCTTATTAGAATTAGTCAAAAGATGATTTTTTCTATATTCCATTAATATGTCCCAAATTCGATCCTTCCAATCTGATGGAGTCTCATTCCCACGCATTCTAGGAAGATTATAGTTAATATGTGAATCAGTTACACTTAAATGTACAAAGGGGTCAGAATATACCATATTTATCAATTTTAGTTATTTATCGATTTATAGAGTTTACATAGCGATTTTTATCAATTTATAGCTGATTTAGCAAGATTATACTATACTAAATCCAAATTCATTTTTATTCGATTATAAGCATGTCAGAGATTTATATCGGCTAAATCGGTTTGTGATATGATGTACTGTATATCATATTACATGAGAACTCCCCTAGTTCCCTGCCAGTTCCTTGATAGTTCTAGGAGTGTTGCAGAAGCTGGCGAGTTTCTATAAATCATGAAATGATCAGCCGATCAGATACATCTTTTCTTGATCATAGCTAAGCCACCATTATTATTCGATTAGTAGAATAAAAAAGCAATATCAGTTGCGCATACCTATGTAAACACCCAAATCTTTGTTATAGTTTTGTAAAGCAATACATGAGAAAGGGCGGTTGGCTAAGAAAAAATGAAAGTAAAAAATCCTAATACTAGTGGTGAGGCCAGAACAGTGTCATGTGACTGTGGCGTATTAATAACAGCTAATCCTTGAAGTTTTTTATGATATATGCAACCTCTGGTCTAGTTAGATCTGAAAAAACTACAACGAATCTTATCTTCACTAATCACATGCGCATGACAAATTGTCACGCTGATCATTGTAAATTTTACTAACTTTATTGCAGTACATTAAGAAAAAATTATTACAAATTCCTATGATATGTATATGATGTTTCTATGCCAGTGATTATTTCAAATGAATCGAGGAAAAACGCGAGAAATCACGTGAAGCCCTTTTCGGAAATAAAAATTCTTCATTGGTATCTTTGTTTTTGCATTCACTTGTTCTTTGCTAATTTGATTCATGTTGCGGATTTGTCCAAGAGAAACAGTATGGATATTCTTGACTTTATTATTATTATAGATAGAGGGATTAGCCATAGCGGATCTGTATGCTCTTCCAGCAAATGGTCCAAAATAGTTCGTAAATGCATTTCTATCTACAATTCCAGACCTTTTCGGAATTTCAATATTACAATTTGCAGATGTAAAGAGGATGAAAAAATCATTTTCTGATGCAGATTTTTCACGCTCTTCTTGGTATTCCTTTTTACTGACTGCTTTTTTTCGTAATTTGAATTGGTGGATTTCATTCGGACTCTCAGTACCCGGCTGATCTAATGAAAGGAAGGAAACTCCATATGGTGAAGCTGGGGCATTAATAATACAGTGTTTGAATTTCCGGACATCAACAGTAGAATTATAGCAATCAACATTCCATTCGCTTGCAGTAAGAGTTTTAGACCTTGTGTCTGTATGGTGTTTTGCAACTTCAAGTTGTAGATTGTGGTTTTTAAATTGGATATCGCCATTCAAACGTGCTCCCGCATGAACCTCTGAGATCGAAGTTGTTTCATTTTCTTCAATCACAGCTGATTTTATACAACGAAATGATACGACAAATTTTTCAAAACTCTGCCATGACTTGGCTTGCAACGATGTTACTGGATTCAAGAGTGCTCTTTGCTCTCCATAATCAGCAAATTCCCAATCCCGAAGTATTGGATCTCCTAGCCGTTGAGACATCTCTACAAATATCCAGAGCCAGATGTACGGTGCAGTGAGGTATCCTTTTGGTGTGTTTTCTATTTGCTCGAATCGAATCATCCCACTCCCAACAAATTCATCTGGTGTTTTGTCAGTTTTGGGAATAGGTTTATATCTATTTAAGAGGCATCTAGTCAATATTGCTCGCGCAATAGGCCTGGCTTCTTCCACAGAACTAAAAATAGCATCACGGTATTTTTTAGTAAGGTTATAACGCAGATCGTTCATCAAAGTATCGACATTGCATTCTTCAATGCTACGACCGTCCAAGCAATCATTCAGAACTTCTAGAGCCCTTCCATGTCCTCCGCAGTCTTCCACAATAGTATTAGTAATCTTATCATTTTTAAAGACCGGGACTCCCTGTTGATCGTTTGGAGGTTGTAGAGAAGAGACCGGAAGGTATACACGATCCCTTGTCAAATTTCTCAACACACCATCAATCGGTCCAGTGATAGTTGAGGTACAAACAGGTATTATGAAAGTGCCACTAAACGCAAGATCTGCAAACGATGTCAAAGTTCTATAAAACATAGAATCTAACTTTAAACCATCATCTTTGTCCTTCATAAGCTGTTGCATTCCGTCAACAATCAAAATGACTGTAGCACTTTTCATGTCTCGGTTATAGTGTTTGGCAATCAATTTCACAACATCCATCGGACTTGGTGGCTTGTATGTATCGATAATTTCATCAAGGTCCATCTGCTTTCTAAGAAGTTGAAATAGCATACGAGTCCCGATAGCAAGATAAGGGTTGTCTTCCCCATTTTTTAAGCTGAAGCCATTCTCATAGCTGGTATGGAATACCCAAGCTTCTTTAATCTTGGTCAACAGCTCCCCATCTTCTTGAGCTGACAAACATGTGATTGCCGTCTGGTGAAATTCGTTAGCGTTTCGAGATTTGCCGGTACCGGCCCCAGAAAGGAAGAGATATAATGGCAGATCTGATTTTTTGTCAATACGCCCTAAAGTAAAATTTTTATGATGCTTTCTAAGCGCTTCCCGCAAAATCTGCTTCAAAGATGGGTCAGGCTGATACTCCCAATTCGCACCAGAAGTGCGAAGCAAAGGTTCTGGTTCTATGTATGGCAAGCCTAGCATATGAATCGTATATTCGATCAGCCTTGATATAAGAGGGGCGAGTTTTCAGCGAGAATTGCTTAATACATACCATTAGAAAAGACATCAGTGATTTTTTTCCTGACTCCTACATGAATTGTGTTTTTGGGGTTTTTTTGAGGATAAGGAGCAATAAAATAAAAAAAAGCGCAAGATTATGTATTGGATGTTACATAACTAAAAAAATAACCAATACAAATGCACGATCACTCATGTTGACTAAATTTATTATGACTCACTTACCAGTATCGGGTTGATCTGTGATAACGCGAATGTGTTTTTTGGGCGGGTTTGATGATAAGAAGCAGGAGAGAAAAGCACAAGAATAAGTAAGTATTCGGTAGCAAATATGACAGAGGAGACAAGAAACTAAGCCACATTATCCATGCTTTGAGAAAACATACCAGGTAGAAAGATTAGAGACCTCAAATAAATACGTTTTTCATCATCATCATCTAAGTCATTAAGATAAGATGCTACAACAGCTGTTTTTTCTACATTTAAAGTAAAGTAAGTGAATAAAAGTATTTTTTCTTTTGCCAGGAGCCCGAGGCGCTTTATTTCTTTTACAATAAGATCAGACATGTTTTGGATACACAAGCTGTACAGAAAGATGTTAGGAATCGAAATGTCGCACATACGATCAGTGATTTCGAAGTCACATGATTCTGATCGTTACCAATGGTAACGGTTTTTTATAAAGATAAATTCTGATGCAAATATTCCCTGTTAGAAAACTTCTCCGAGATTAGGTAATTTCGAACCTACAGCATAAATCGGGGATTAGCAATTAAGATAAAAATAAGGCAATGTAATATACACTTACCATTACTATTAATTTTCGCAACATTCCATTCCACCTTGAAATTTGCTTAACGCATTATAATAAAGGTATTTCGATTTTTTTATCCCACGTACGATACTGCGCAGAATTTGGCAAGTGAAGATGCTTATGATTCCTGATATACTGCGCCAGACTTTTACTGTGCCGTCACATGTGACGAGATTCATGTGAGTAATTTCACTGCGTTTATTGTACGTGTGATGATGGTTCTCGGCGAAGATAAAAATGCCGATATATAACAAGAAGAGCAATATGTCCATTTTATTATGGAACATCTATAGCGGAAAATCGATTAAGATCATGATGACATGTTTCAAGAAGCTAGCCGAGCAATAAACTAACTTACTTTATAATACTTTACGGAATATACTCGTTTGTTTGATTGGAGATAATATTGATGATGTAAATTATGGTAAGTTTGAATGTTTCGCTTATTTTTTGTTTGTTATTCGATATGTGCGCTAAGCTTTTTGTTCATTTCGACAAAGATCTTTTCAATTTCTGGTGTATTATTTTTTGTATCAAGGTCATTGACGATTCTAGTAAATTCATCAGAAATTTTTTGTTTCCTTATGAATAACACTAGACCAATAAACAAAATAACAGCGGTTAAGGTCAAAAAAGGCACGACTTCTGAAGAGTTAAGTAATGTCAAACTGGACATGATTAGGTAAATTGATGCATAGTAATTTTATCCATCGATATAACAAACCTTATTTTAGCAATAAGAATATCTTAAATATATAAATTATCCATCTACATATACATTCAACATCAAGTTTTTTTAAATATTTATTACTAATAGTATAAAAAAAATATTAGTCCCTAAAAAGGAGAGTAGATTTTTTTTTTAAAAAAGTGTTACACACAGATCAGAACACGTGATCAAAGAAATGCTATAAAAAAAAAATTTTTTCTCATTTTCCAATACACGAATATTTTAATCAAACGTATATCGAGTTTCTTAACGAATGTTTTCAAGAAAAAAAATAGATATAAATTTAAGTCTCATGAACATTATTAAAAGTGATGAGGAAGGTAGAAGAGAAATGCGCAACATCTTTTCGATAGGTATAAAAAGGCAAGTAAAAATTGTTTTTGTTGAAATTCAATCAAGGAACAAGTGGCGTGGTGGAGATCTTTTAGTTTTCCATCATTCAAGTCTTTTAGCCGAGCCACAAAACCAGTGTTAGGGTACAGGAAATCTTTTAGTTTGGCTGTATTCAAGTCTTTAATAAATTTAGTCGACCTAATTCTGGTCCCATAGGGGCAGGCGATTTTCTAGTTTTGCTGTGTTCAAGTCTTTTAGTCGACCCAATGGGATGAGAAATCAGATGGGAAAATTCAAAATCACGTTGGGTAAAAGATATTAACTTTTCTATTCTTCCTTCTGAGGGTACTCGACTACTTGACCCAGCAACTGAATCAGAACGTAGATCGAACAAAATGAGAAGTGGTCCATTCAACAATTAATATTAATAATTCGACAATTTCAGGAAGCGCTCAATTCAATAATGAATCTTTTAATGTTGGTGGTTCAAAGAGAAACCTGGAGAGGGATCATGAAAAGGTAATGGATGCGCTTTTTTTTGGCTAAAAGTTGAGAATCAGAGTGGAACTAATTGTTTTACATTAACCCTTTAGAATAATCATAAACAGATGAAAGAATATTTTCTATGCAACATCACACATGAAACTCAATACGAACAATGATTTGAGAAATGTTAACAATGATGATGAGCTGTCCAGCGTCACTTTAGCGCCGCTGGATAATATTCCTAATATTCCAGATCAATATTATAAAGATGGGTATACTACACCATTTCTACGTAGTCCGGCATTAAACAATTCACCGTAGAACCTCCAATGCTCAACATTAGTATTAATAATCTACTCTTGAAGAGAAATGAGGTAGATATTGATATCTTAAAATAGATGATCTATGCTTCACCAGCTGATGATTGTAAGAAAGAAGAGACCAATATGTCTCATTTGTTTTCAGAAGTATCAGAATAATTCCATAAATATGGCAAAACTGAAGGTATTTGTTGAGTCAAAATGTCCATAGAATACTTTCACTTTCACCCGCCAATTCAAAATGATCGATATATTTGATTCTCTGCTATTAGATGACAAATTATCCTGACACAGCAAACTGCATTGGATTCAGGATGCGAAGCAAAGTTTAGAGATGCAATAAAGCGAGCGTTAAAAGAATCATTTAATCATGTTACGGATTGGTTGGTGGAAGAACTTCCAAAAATAAACCTTTGAAGGATAATATGGGCTTATAATCATACCTTTTACGAAGGTCAAAAATGATTCTAGTGAAATGACATTGGTAACAAACTATTTAGATCACATAATGAGAGGGATGTTGCATGATCTCAATAGGCACATTTGTTAAATGACCTTATACGGAAGTAAAACGAGGAAATCAGGAGATCGTAGTATCCGTGATTCATTAATTACAGATATGCGATGTGGGTGACGCCTTCTGAGAACAATGTATACAGTCGTCCTCCCATATAGTCACCCCCTGTATAATCACAACTCCCTTATAAGCACATTTACATTAATCCCAAGTTACTAATAAACTTATTAAAAAATCCTTCCCTTTAATCACATCATATATAATTTTTATAGTCACACCATTTTTTTTTGGTCCCGAAGGGTGTGATTATATGGGAGGATGACTGTACAAGAATTGTAGGAATCTAATTCGGGTTGGTATTTTCATGAAGGAATGTTTGGATTTAGGCATAGAAAAGGGTGCGGACTTGAAGATTTTAAGGTTCAATGTGTTTATAGTATAGGTTTAATATTTTTTAATTATTTGCTTTTTCCTTATGATTAATTTTTAAACCATTTTGTCTATTTAGAGTACAAAATGAACTTTTATATGATAGATCTCATCCAAAGAATGTATACGATGATCCATATCGGCTAAGTAAATATCCTTTCTTCGATAAAATTATTTGTTAATTAAGTAGAGAGTGCGAGGGATTTTGCAAATCATTTGATACTTTATAAAGGGCAATATTCAGACGTAATACCTTTGGTACACCCAAATTTAATCAGCTTGTGAGAAGAAATGAAACTGTCATTGGAGCTGTCTGGTTTAGAAAATTATCTACTAATTTACATGTTTTACTTGCGGCCAGAACAATGAACATCTCCCTTCAAACAGGCAAGTTCGATCGTGACTCGTAGGGAATGGTTATTAAGAGGAAGCTGCACACCATTTACCAAATCTTCCGGGCACAAGAAACTGCTTTTCCGTATCAATCAAAGCAGCGTTCTACCAATATTTTGCCTGGATCAATTAACGTCGTCAATAAGACATCTTATTCAATGGCAACAATACTAGAAACTAGCTAACTTATCGGCCAAAGGGATGAAAGCGAAATGGTACCACGAATTAGAGTGTTACGTGATAGCTGATCAGACTAATCAAGCCAACATTGGATATTGTGCTGACTGATCATTGAATGTTTCATCAGATTAACGTGTTAAGCCCTTTATACTAATTCAAAAACTACTTCATAATCAAGTTACTTACAGAATTAGGAACGTTAGAAACACCCATCACCAGACGTTCTCACTTTTATCCTGGTGGGAATCTAAACGAGAGACACAGGTAGCAATACTCACGGAACAAGGACCTAATTAAAGTTGTTCACCCGACAAGCTAAAGTTTTACCTACTGAGCCACATGTTATAAAAATGGAAAAGGGACAGAAAAGAATTTAGAAAAAGCCTTTCTTTGGTATCAAAAAGCAGCAGAAAATGGTAATGAAGATGCAATGAATAATTTAGCAACATGAAAGTTCCGACGGATTTCTCATTGTAGTGAAGATTGAATAAAGCTTTTGATATTCCTTTCCATTCCGAACGTAGAAGAAATCTTTGATTCCCAGACAAGAAGTTCCAGAACTTACTGTCCTACGAAAACTGGAAGCCTGGACGATGGACTACTGGTGATGAGGAAGTAGATCTCTTCTCATTACTAGATCACTACGAAGAGTTAGGGTTCCGATCGGTACGGTTCGGTTTCGGTTTGAGTCATACCGAAACCGAAACCGAATTTCGGTATCGGTAATCGATAATTTACCGAATTTTCGATATCGGTAAACTGTATAACCGAAACCGGCCGGTAATTACCGATTACCGATACCGATTTACCGAATTTACTACTCCTCGATGTATTTATTACAAAACCTATATAAAAAATAAATCCTATCAATAAACAAATTTAAGATTGAGATCCTTGGATTTAGTATACGCTAGGTGTTTATATTAAATTGTAATCTATTGTATGATTGTTATTAATTAATAATAAACGCGTTACTATTTACAGCAAATTTCAAAATATACGGGACACTTGAGAAATTTGATTGTCGGGTTGTCGGGTAGCCGGGTTACTCGGCAGTAGGTTATTATATAATCTGATATACTACTATTCATTATACTCGTCACGTGTTATTTATACTTTTCTAATAAACAACCTACTGCCGAGTAACCCGGCTACCCGACAACCCTACAATCAAATTTCTCAAGTGTCCCGTATATTTTGAAATTTGCTGTAAAAAAAAGAAAAATTAAAAAAAAACTATATATATATGGACTAAAAAAGATTATCAGTTTGCCAATCACAAAATATAAAGTCAGATCGGTAAATCTGTTCGATAAATGATAAAACCGATACCGAAAACCGAAATTACCGAACCGATCGGTAAATTACCGAAGTGTTAGGTCGGTAATTTTTGATGCAATTACCGACCGAAAACCGAAAACCGATCGGTTCGGTTCGGTAATTACCGAAACCGATCGGAACCCTACGAAGAGTTGCAATTACCACCTGATGTAGGAGATCCTAATTACCTTGAAGCGACTGATACATGTATCTGGATAGAAAGATGGATTGATAACTTAAAGAGCGACCTACTAGGAGCGCGCAATACTCTTCAACATCGATCAAAAGTTAATTTTTATACCGATGCAATCAACACCGGAGGATCTAGATCTGAATTCACAACTTTCTATGGAAGCCGCCTTCATAGTTCAAGAAACAGCTTATTTCATTGGCCTTCGTCGACCAGAGCCGAATTAGTGGTAATATTGTTGGCGTTGCTTGCGTCGCCATGTGCATCAACGGTTCTCATGCATACTGAGTCAAGCATCATTCAATCCATCAACAATATACAGCATCTTTCTTCAAAGAAATGGCTAAAGAGAAACACTTTTTGTTGTTAACTAAAAATCAAATAGATCTTAAATTAGTTAAAGTGAAAGGACACAGTGATATAGAATTAAATGAGCAAGTTGATAAATTAGCTAAAGAGACGGGCAATATAGATAGTTGTTTTAGTAATAGATTTAATTATAGTCATGATCCTAATATTCGGTTTTTTTCTCATTTTTATAGCATCCTATTGAGCAAAATTTTAGTAAGATTGTTAGACTATTTTTCATATATACAACGCTGCGGAGACTCACTTAAGAATAATGATGGTTCAACGGAATCAACGTGTGGTATTATTGAATGGGACATAACCTGTCGGTTTTTAGGCAGCTTAAGTGCTTTAGATGGCTGTGACTCAATAGCGAAACAGATTACTTCCGCTTCTCATCGTTCATCGAAGTTCATTGCGGATAATATGGCAATTTGACATATAACGATTTTATTGATTTATAGTAGATTGTATCAAGTTATAATAAAATATCAGGTTCACTTATATCTGACGAAGGCGCTGTGCACATACAGTATTCACATGCATGTAGATTGGACGATCTAAATTATTTTTAATAATAAAAAAATACGTATCACATGAAATCTCCTTAGATCCCCGTTAATTCCCTAACTCAAATCAGCTTTTTTTGACTAACTATCCTTTTATGGAATTATACATGGCATTCATGGCATTGAACAAAAATCACATTTAAATTCCTGAGAACTGCGTAAAATTTATTTGATATATCTACATATTACATAAGAAAAAAATTATCTATATTTCCCGCAAATCAAAGATCAAGGGAGGCAGAATTACATGAACATTTGGATTGATTACTCTTGATCATCTGGCTCAATGTAATTAATTAATAAAAACATTAATTGTTACGGCACTATAAATGAGGGCGCCACAGGTCTCAAAATAGAAGGCGTCACTGGTCTTGACACGGCTGGTGTTGTTGAACGCGAGATATTAGGTGAGGAACTGCTTTCAGAATTTTTGTTGAAGTCCTAGCTCCCGAGGCAGTTCTAGATCTTGAATCAGTTCCAGATCCTGAATAAACTTTAGGATCTGGATTGTGATCTTCCCGACATGTTATATGATGCTGTCATTCCTACATTAAGTTGACATGTTGCTAGAAAAAAATAAGTATTTTCTGAAATATTAGCATTTTTTGTGAGGAAGATCGCGAGCCCAAAGGAAATAAATACCTTGCTCTTTCCAAAATTCTGTGGAGAACTCTTCATAATATTTTCTCCAACAAGCCTCCTCTTATTTTTAGTCCCTTCCTTATAGGCTTTGGTCGTCTAATAAGACCAGAGAGTCAGTTAAAGCTAATCAAAGGTGCGAGATGTTTGTTGAAACTAACAGTTCATACTTACATAAACTTAAACGTAAATGCTCTGTGATCATTATACATAGATTAAATTCAGTCATATTCAAAAAAAAAATCTTGAATACATTTATATGTATTTTTAATTTGATCACTTATTATTCCGATGTGCACATACCTTAGTTAAAAAAGATAAATCTCAAATGAATTACTTCGTTGTATAAATTCCATCATTTGCATATTTGATTTTGAAATATTATTGTAAAAAGATATAACCTGACATATTTTTCCATCGCCGATACGTATTATCTGTAGCATATCAGATATTAATCTCTTGAATTCATCACTTCAACCGAGTGCCCATATATTATAAAATAAAATTAATTGCGTTAGTGGGAAAGTTAAAGGTTATAATATAAAAATAATTAATTTAAATGACTTTAATCATTTTTCTTTCATCACCTCTCTAAAACCCAAATGCATATTGATATAGAGAGGAAGCGACACTTTCAATCGGATAATATTTTGATTTCTTGTAAATTCTCTGATGATAAAGAAAAATTCGAAATTATGTAATAAACTTACATTATCTGGTTTCTTCCAAACCAAACTTCTTTGATGTGCAATATCGACTCGTCCAACTTAATTACCACTCTTTCCACCTTATACGTATTAAGCATTTTTTTTTTAAGTGAAAAGCTAGCTCTCAAAAGACGCACAAATCTGCTGGGGACGGACCCACGGACAGCGGGTCAAAAGACGAACTGCCTGCAGTTTGTATAGACACGGAGTCCTGCATCAGTTGAGTATAGCGAGAAGCTATTTTAGCCAGTACATGAACGCGCAAATCTGCTGGGGACGGACCCACGGACAGCGGGTCAAAAGACGAACTGCCTGCAGTTTGCATAGACACGGAGTCCTGCTTTCATGAACGAAATTTTTTTCTTCCATTAAAGAATAAAAAAGATACGCGTTTTTTCATTTTTTCAATGTTCATGATAAATGTATACAGTACAATGATAAAAATAGTAACAACTGTGCCACTAGTGATGTGGCTTCCTGATTGGTTTGCAGGGGTTACCGGGTTACCTATAAATTATCCATCTACAATCAATATTTGGATGCTTTACCCCCATATACATTCAACATCAAGTTTTTTTTAAATATTTTATTACTAATAGTATAAAAAAAAAATATTAGTCTCTGAAAAGGAGAGTAGATTAAATAGAAATTTTTTTTTTAAAAAAAAAGTGTTAAAAACAGATCAGAACACGTGATCAAAAGAAATGCTATAAAAGAATTTTTTCTCATTTCGTAACACAGTGCGATTTTCTAGTTTTGCTGTGTTCAAGTCTTTTTAGTCGACCCAATGGGATGAGAAATCAGATGGGAAAATTCAAAATCACGTTGGGTAAAAGATATTAACTTTTCGATTCTTCTTTCCGAGGGTACTCGACTACTTGACCAGCAACTGAATCGGAACGTAGATCGAACAAAATGAGAAGTGGTTCATCCAACAATTAATATTAATAATTCAGGAAGCGCTCGATTATATAATGAATTTTTTATGTTGGTGGTTCAAAGAGAAACCTGGAGAGGGGTCATGAAAAGGTAATGGATGCGCTTTTTTGGCTAAAAGTTGAGAATCAGAGTGGAACTAATTGTTTTACATTTAGAATGATCATAAACTGATGAAAGAATATTTTCCATGTAACGTCACACATGAAACTCAATATGAACAATGATTTGAGAAATGTTAACAATGATGATGAGCTGTCCAGCGTCACTTTAGCGCCGCTGGATAATATTCCTAATATTCCAGATCAATATTATAAAGATGGGTATACTACACCATTTCTACGTAGTCCGGCATTAAACAATTCACCGTAGAACCTCCAATGCTCAACATTAGTATTAATAATCTACTCTTGAAGAGAAATGAGGTAGATATTGATATCTTAAAATAGATGATCTATGCTTCACCAGCTGATGATTGTAAGATAGAAGAGACCAATGTATCTCATTTGTTTCCAGAAGTATCAGAATAATTCCATAAATATGGCAAAACTGAAAGTATTTGTTGAGTCAAATGTTTATAGAATACTTTCACTTTCACCCGCCGATTCAAAATGTTCGATATATTTGATTCTCTGCTATTAGATTACAAATTATCCTGACACAGCAAACTGCATTGGATTCATGATGCTAAGCAAAGTTTAGAGATGCGATAAAGCGAGCAACAAATGAATCATTTAATCATGTTACAGATTGGTTGGTGGAAGAACTTCCAAAAAGATAATATGGGCTTATAATCATACCTTTTACGAAGATCAAAAATGAATGATTCTAGTGAAATGACATTGGTAACAAACTATTTAGATCACATAATGAGAGGGATGTTGCATGATCTTAATAGGCACATTGTTGAATGACCTTAAACGGAAGTAAGACGAGGAAATCAGGAGATCGTAGTATCCGTGATTCATTAATTACAGATATGCGATGTCATATTTATGAGTGACGCCTTCTGAGAACAATGTATACAAGAATTGTAGGAATCTAATTCGTGTTGGTATTTTCATGAAGGATTGTTTGGATTCAGGCATAGAAAATGATGCGGACTTGAATATTTTAAGGTTCAATGGGTTTATGGTATAGGTTTTAATATTTTTTAATTATTTGCTTTTTCCTTAAACCATTTTGTCTATTTAGAGTACACAATGGACTTTATATGATAGATCTCATCTAAAGAATGTATACGATGATCCATATCGGCTAAGTAAATATCTTTTCTTCGATAAAATTATTTGTTAATGAAGTGGAGAGTGCGAGGGATTTTTGCAAATCATTTGATACTTTATACAGTAAGCTTCGCAACATCACCAATACCTTTGGTACACCTAAATTTAATCAGCTTGTGAGAAGAAATGAAACTGTCATTGGAGCTGTCTGGTTTAGAAAATTATCTACCAATTTACATGTTTTACTTGCGGCCAGAACAATGAACATCTCCCTTCAAACAGGCAAGTTCGATCGTGACTCGTAGGGAATGGTTATTAAGAGGACTGAGGCTGCACACCATTTACCAATCTTCCGGCACAAGAAACTGCTTTTCCGTATCAATCAAAGCAGCGTTCTACCAATATTTTGCCTGAATCAATTAACGTCATCAAAAAGACATCTTATTCAATGGCAACAATATAAGAAACTAGTTAACTTATCGGCCAAAGGAGTGAAAGCGAAATGGTACCACAAATTACTAGAGTGTTACGTGATAGCTGATCAGACTAATCAAGTCAACATTGGATATTGTGTTGACTGATCATTGGTAAACTTTACAAACGTTTCATCAGATTAACGTGTTAAGCCCTTTCTACTGATTCAAAAACTACTTCATAATCAAGTTACTCACAGAATAGGAAAGTTAGAAACACCACCAGACGTTCTCACTTTTATCCTGTTGAATCTAAACGAGAGGCACAGGTAGCAACACTCACGGAAAGTTGTTCACCCTGACAAGCTAAAGTTTTACCTACTGCGAAAGTTCCAACGGATTTCTCGTTGTGCGTGAAGATTGAATAAAGCTTTTGATATTCCTTTCCATTCCGAACGTAGAAGAAATCTTTGATTCCCAGACAAGAAGTTCCACATCTTACTCCTCTACGAAAACTGGAAGTCTGGACGATGGACTACTGGTGATGAGGAAGTAGACCTCTTCTCATTACTAGATAATACGACGAGTCGCAATTACCACCTGATGTAGGATATCCTAATTACTTTGACAGGTTTATCATCAGAAGAGACCCATGACGAGATATGATTTCAATTAACATACTAGTAAAACATGAAGCAACTGATACATGTATCTGGATAAAAAGATGGATTGATAACTTACGATTAAAGAGCGACCTACTAGAAGCGCGCAATACTCTTCAACATCGATCAAAAGTTAATTTCTATACCAATGCAATAAGAAATGTTAAATCGAGCTTATTTCATTGGCTTTCATCGATCAGAGCCGAATTAGTGGCAATATTGTTGGTGTTGCTTGCGTCACCATGTGCATCAACGGTTCGCATGCTTACTGATAGTCAAGCAGCCATTCAATCCATCGACAATATACAGCATCTTTCTTCAAAGAAATGGTTAAAGAGAAACACTTTACTTAAAATAAAATAGATCTTTAATTAATTAAAGTGAAAGGACACAGTGGTATAGAATTAAATGAGCAAGTTGATAAATTAGCTAAAGATGCGGGCAATATAGATATTTGTTTTAGTAATAGATTTAATTATAGTCATAAATAATTAAATAATTATTCTATTTTCTAAAAAAATATCCATACTAAAAAACATGATGGATGTTTCTAATCACGTGTACTAATCAAATTTTTCAACGATCTCTTTCAAATAAGAAAAGATAATAATAACTTTTACAAATTATTCATACAAACGCAAATCAAGGTACTCCTTTTTTTGATTCTTGAGAAGATTTTTAAAACTCGTCGAAGTTTCTACGAAACTATGAAATCTACCAAATTCTGTATTATTATATAAGACTCCTTACCTTCCTCATATATCGAATATGTAATATGTGATTTCCTAAAAATCATCATATTGCTTAAATTAATGTTATAAATCGGGTAAATTGATTTAGAACGAACGATACTAGTTAGCGCCATGCAGTAAATTCCATACCTACTTATATCTAATTGCGGAAAATAAAAAATCTAATGTGCAAGCATATATATTGAGGTAGGGATTTGGAATCGAAAATCGAATCTTTCAAGATTTTTCTTATAGACGACCAACCTGACTTTGAATCAGTTTCTAATTTCAGTAAAAATAATCAGCACTTGGCCGGCATGAAAAATTACTTTGGAGTCAGGTTAACTTATATGTAAAAAATTGCTGAGAATCGATTTTACTATGTTTTGTCGATTTTCGATTAATCGATTCCAATTCATATATTGAGGATATTATAATTCGATTAATTCATTGAAAAGTGTGATGAAATAGATGATTCCGAGAAATTTCAAGAAACGCCAATAAAACCTTCAAATTAATGTAATCACATATCCTACAAGTCAAATATTATATCATAAAGTAATGTCTCTTTATTTGTCCAAATTTTAAAAATTATAATCATTAATCATAAAAAATGCAATTTTCTATAATGTAAATATCATAAATGTTTAAAATTTTCATTAAATAATAATTTACAACTGAACGTCTGAACGATCTAAATCTAGTTTATTAAACACACGTTTGTATTGGATAATTTTTATTATTATAATTTTTCTCAAGGCAAAAAACCTTTGAAATAATATCTCTAACTGGCAAAGTAATTATGACTTTATATGCTTTAACATTTGTTTCTTAAATATGAAATGTTTGATCAGTAATAATTATTCAGAAAAGTTTGCGAATTTAATTTCAATAAGTTCTGAAGTTCGGTCAGAATTATGTCATAGCTGAAATTCTGGCTGGAATTATCCAAAAAGGAATAGTCTACACAATCATTATTGTTATTTATTGAGCCCGAATTCAATGATCATCGTACTTTTTCCACTACTTTTTATAACAATGTCTTCGAAATTTTGGGCCGAGTTATCTAATGATTATGAAAAGCTTTTTGAAACAGAAATAGGATATGATGTTATTATTTATGCTGGAGAAGAATCAAATATTAAAGAGATTCATGCTCATTCAAATATTTTATGCATCAGGTCAATATATTTTCGTACGGCGTTTTCTAATGAATGGGCTGAAAAAAAAGATGGAAAATTTATTTTGAGAAAACCAAACATTTCCCCCAACTTTCTTAATATAATCCTTAGGTATTGTATAAATCGTTATACGTCTAATTTTCTTAAAAACAAAAAAAAATAATAAATTAATAATGATTTTTCAAATGTTAGGTTTATTTATTGTGGAAATATTGAATTGGAGAATTTACAGGGACCGGATGTGCTAAAACTTTTAGTGGCAGTGGATGAACTTAATATTCAATCATTAATTTCTCATATTCAAGAATATTTAATTGAACATCAAACTGAATTTTTACATCAAAATCCAACTGGTATTCTTGAGACCGTTTATCAACATGAAACGTTTACAGATTTATGGGAATTTTATCTTGAAAAAATTTGTAAAGAACCAAAGATTTTATTAGAATCTGATGAATTTATTAATTTAAAAGCTTCTTTATTGGAATTATTGTTAAAAAGTGATGATTTAAATGCGGATGAGATTGAAATTTGGGAGAGTTTATTGAAATGGTGTTTTGCACAATTAAGTATGAATAATGACCCTAAAAAATGGAATAAAGAAGATATTACAAAAATTAAGGGTTCGTTAAGTAGATTTATCTCTCTTATTAGATTCTATAATATCAAACCTGAAGATTTCTTTTATAAAGTTTATTGTTATAAAGATATTTTACCACAGGATTTAATTAATGATCTTTTGGAATTTCACATAGTTCCTAATATGAAACCTAAGACTAATAATATAACACCATTAAGAAAGTCAAGTTTAAGTTTTAAACTTGATTCAAGATTGATTGATTCAGAATATATTCCACTTTTTGCTTCATGGATTGATAAAAAGGATTCTTCAAATTATGATAAAAAAATGATTCCTTATGAATTTAAATTATTATATCGTTCAGGTCAGAATGGATTTAATGCTACATCATTTCATAGAAATTGTGACAATAAAGGAGCTACTATTTGGGTAGCAAAAATTCAAGGTTCAACACAATTAATTGGAGGTTATAACCCACTTGATTGGAACGGAAATTGTGGTTGGAAAAGTACTGCGGATAGTTTTCTATTTAATTTTACAGATATGAAAAATACTTCTACTGCAAAATTAGGTTATGTCAATATTAAAGATTGCGCTGTTTCTTGTTATAATGATCGAGGACCTAGTATGGGTAATTTAGTTTGCCTTAATTCCAATAAGTGGACTTATCTTAGTGGAACTCACTATCCTAATATAGATATTATTTCAGGAAATTTTACTATAGAAGATTTTGAAATATTTCAAGTAATTAGAAAATGAAGATAAATAAATAAATTATTTTCGTAATTAAAAATATGTATATTTAATATTTATTTAATTAATTAATTTAACTTTGTAAAAAATCTTTTATTTTAGTTGTTTGTCACTATCTATGTTTAGAATCTTTTTTCCTTTTTATTTAGTTTGCTTACAAGTTAAAACATGCCCAAAAAATATCATACATTGTATACTATGGAACGGTAATTACAGCAATAATGTTGAAAGTGACATTTTTTTTTTACGTGTCGAGATATTTTTTTTCATTATGCTAGAGCGGAGATGTGCAATGTCAGGAACAATAATTATCTATCAACTCATACAATGAACGGACGGAACGGGATATTTTGTGCCTTGCTTAGAGTTCTATAGTCCTTCACTTCGCTCTGAACTAATGAGTGTTAATTAATTAAATTTTATTAGACGAAATCTACACAATTTAGAGCAGATAGAAAGAATTAAATTACATACTCATGCGTGTAAAAAACGGTTAATGCGAAAGAATAATCTGTCAAAGAATTGGCAGTATGTGTACTATAATTTTAATAGGTCAGATCGTAGAACTGCGATTATCCGGTGTTGAAATCCTAAGCTGATTAATTCCGGTTAATAAACCAGTTTATAAATAAAATTTGTTAGCCTGAATCTAGTACAAGGAAAAATTTAAGGTTTTTCATAACTCCAACCTACATTTGACAAAAATAATATTCCAAGTGGTATTTCTTGGCAATAAAATTAATTATCGTCAAACATTATATGCAGTATCAGATGTTTCATTTACGCTTACGTATCACTTGAAAGTTCATCCAAAAAAAAGATCCTTTAGACTAAATTATAATTAGATTTGTTTTCCGACTGATGTAATAGGATTACATATCTCCTTTTTCAATTATTTTAACCTTTTATATTCAGAAATATTTGATAACTATCTTTTAGACTTTTACATGCCGATTGAAACATTTATGTTACAAAATTATCTGATACGGTAATTTTAATACGTAATAAGAAGCTCGGTGACTCCGATATTGTTATATTGTCGACTCGATTATAAATCGTGGAATTATTAACTTTATGACTTATTCCGTTTATATATACCATTTACAGAAGAAATCATTGTGGCCGATTTTATTTTTTATTTTAAAAAAAACTGAAAATACATACAGTATATAGAAAATTTGCAAGACTCTTTCTCTCCTAATTTAAAATTCGGTTATTTATGAAAAATTGAAATCGAAAAAAAATTTTAAAATATTGGTCATTTGCTATAATAATATTATATATGTATATTTATATACTAAAGCGAAAATTTAAAATATCTATTCTCTTTTTGATTATTCTAATAGACGAAAGATTTAACAAATATCTAATCAATTTGAATGCAATTCCTCCGATAAGTGTAAGAACGATACCTAATAAAGCTCCATAAACGTCAAAGATTATTCGACTGCTACTATATTTTCGTCTACTGTTGATCTTGGCTAAAACTTCCAATCTTTTTAAATTTTTCTTTATCTTCGCATCTTCTAATAAGACACTCATTTTATTGACCAAGTCATTAACATCCAAAGTAAATTTATCTAATGATAATGCAACACCAGCTGATTCTAATTTTTGTGTATTGCCCATCTAACATAGGAATACCAGTATAAAGAGATTCATGGATACTTTTTAAACCCGCATAACAAAAAAATAATTTTGATTAAATATTGCGAATTGTGGTGCAAACTTTGTAATATAAATATGTGGATGCTTATTATTTAGAATTGACAAAGTTTGAAATTGTGTACCATAAGTTAAGTTTAAATGTTTAATGTTGGACTGAAATCATTTTTAATGTTAAAACTAATTCATCAACTAGTATTTTTTTTGTTGGCTGTTTCAACAAGTGATTGTAAAATTTTGTTGTTATTCTCAGTTGTAAAGAAACGTGTACCAAAAACAACGTATAAAACTCGTTTATGTACACTCATAAAGTTAGAGAGTTCTGGTATAAGTGGAGGATACTAGTAATATTGGTCAATTTCCTATTAATTTGAAAAATGAGGAAATTTAATTTTTTATAATTTTGCTAAATTTCTTATTAATATAAATATAAAAGACGATGATTACCTGAACATAATTATGGTGGTAAAGATTGCGGTAACTTTAAGAAGAAGAAAAAAAATCGTTATTTCTGTAAACTTAACCAAGTTATTATATTTTATTATTTATAAAATAAATTACCTCAGAATTTTGGCACTTTTTCTGATGCCGCTTTTATATTCATTTGATTTCTTATGTCATTTATTTGACGCTCAGGACCCCGAAACGCGGCTATTTGTAAAGATTGTATTACAGCAGCGCATCTAAATCTCTCAAAAAAACGATTCATTTCTAATGAGATATTACATCGAACAACGGATCAGATTTATATGGTATATATAGAATCTATTACTTAAATAAATGAAAAAAAAAACTTTTAATATATGATTTTTTACTATTAAAAAAAAAAAAGAAAGAAAAATAAATTTGATCATTAATAATTACATTGAAGATACGTAGTAAAAACAACAACAGGTTTCTTAAGATTGTAAGCAAGATCTATGCAAGCTTCATTTCCCATAATGTTACAAAAAACAAATCAATATTATATTCTTTAGCAACATTCTTAAATTTTTCATAAGTTTTATTGGTCATTTGAGCTTATATTCTAAAATTGTATCATTCCTCTATAATCAAAATTCCCATGAATTTTTAAATTATTACTTTTGACAGTAAGTTAAGGTCCTAGCTTTAGACCTGAGTGAAATTCATATCTTCCTGATGTTAATAATGTTACCTATGCATCAAGAATATACTAAATAGGAGCAAATTTAAAAACAGACGATAATCGATCAAAAAACACGTCAAAGAAAAAAAAAAAGCCTTACAATTAATATAGCGGCAATAACATTGGTTTTACATGACTTCTTCCATCAACATAAGAACCGACCAAAATATTTTTAGGCATTCCCGGCCGATCGAAATCAACTTTTCTTGGAATAAAATTTTGTGTCGTTGCAGTATTAACATAGTAAGAGTATCAATGATCGTTGTAATTTTGGCTAAATTTGACCGACATTAACTTGGCCAGAGTTTACAATAATTTATCCCTGAAATTTATCACTTTGAAAGCTAACATTAAATCTAAAAATAGTACATTTTGAATCGGGATTTTTTGTTAATAGGGGAGGATACATTATATAATTGAAATTCAGTATAATAAGAATACCTTTAAAAATTATTATTATAATACAAATCGGAGTAATTCGTCACGACTCACGTGGGATTATGATTAAAAAAGGATACAAATTTTGGCTTTGAGCGGACTATAATTTCGGCCAGAATTAAAATAATATTATTCCATAAATTTTTATTAATTTTGGTGGTCCCAGCCTAAATTAACCGACCCGGTATCCGGATAAAACCGCTACGCGTCTACGGATCGAAACTCTAACTCAAAGGACTCTCATATTCATCGTTTATGAGGTACTTTACGTGATATTATTATATTGGTTTGGCACAGCTTAATTATAAATTTGTTGATTAACTTCTTAATGATGGAAGTTATACAAGTACTTATATTTCTCTTTTATTGATCGAACGAGCCCTGACTTTTATTAACTAAAGATTGATTATATAACAAATCCTAATAATATGTCCTGCCCTTTGAGTGAATATACAAGCTTAACTAAATACAATGTGAAAACTGCAAAACCTTTTGGAAAGTTATCACGCGACTTAAATTAACGATCCGCAGCATGATAACCCATGATTTAAATTATGTAATTTTATAAACAACAAAATTGCCATTTTATAAGAACGCATGTGACTTCATCGGTTGCGCATAAAACTTTTATAAAAAAAATATATATTTATTTATTTGAAACCATTTCTCCTTTTCTGATCATCAATCACTTCAAATAACCTAAATTTTGTGGATTTCTAAGTTTTTGGATCAGATTAAGATTTTTTTTTTGGCCACTTTGACCCTTTTGATTGTATTTGATTGCATGCATTAACATAACAAATGGAAAAGAATTTTCTAACCACGATGCCAAAAGTGGCTTCCAATCCTATAAAAAATTTTTTATAAAATTAATCACATGTCTGGAGTTTTTTTGAAATAAAACTAGTAAAATGAAGCTTTTCCTATGAAATTTTTTATGGGGTAACCATGTGTCTGGAACTGTTATACCCTTTTCTATTATTTTAAAAAAATTAATCAAACCAATGCAAATCATGTCTTTATTTTTCGTGGTCATGTTTACTATAACAACTAAGATCACAAATTAAAAAATATTTAGTGTATCAATATATTAATCGGTACCCGTCCGTTCGTTAAATCATAATTATAAAATTTTAATCTATTGTCTGTTTACAATCAAATAATATTACTGTAATAAATAACCTATAAAAATTTTTCAGAAATTGATCACGTGTCTTAGTTTCTTCGGAATAAATCTAGAAAAATGATCATTAATCGGAGTTTTTTCTAGAATTTTTTTTATAGGGTAAGGTTTATTCGGATACGATTATCGTTCAAATATCAATGCGTTGGCATATGTTCTTCGATATATAAAGTATTTATGCTCTAAAAAACATTAACCAAATATCGAATAAGATTACTAATTTGGTCAATGCAAAAGACGTGGAGAAAATGCCAAGAACTGTACGGTTAAATAGGAATCAGAATAGGTTAAATCAATTAAAGATTCAATTATTTCTAAGTGATCATCAGGAGAATAAAACAAGCGTAGATCTACAAAATAATACATGTGTGAAAAGTGTGAAAAATTTAAAGGAATTTTCAATAGTATAAAATAGTGTATTTTCAAAAATGACGTAGTTTTTTTAATAGTAATAAATAGTGTAGTTACCTTATTCTCAAATTTTTTCACATTTTATTATTTTATTATTTTTTTTTTACTTACACTAGTAGGAGCGCATTTTTATTTTTTTTACTTACACTAAGAGTCGAACTGAATACCTCACTATTAATCACATTTTATTTATTTTTTTTACTTACAAGATAAACTATTAATATATTAAGTCTCATTATCCGATATATCTATTTGTGTAAATTTTATGCAACTTTTTAAAATATTTTAAGTTACAATTTCGCGTGGGTTATGCAAAATCATGTATTTATGCAAATTTCTAAAGTGTAGATTCCTGAAACTACCCACTTATGAAGAATTTATGAAACTTTTTAAGATACAAATCAACGAAATATTTTTTAAATTTGTTTTTATGCGTAGATTACTTAAATCATATATTCAAGAAGTTATTTCAAGATAAAAAGTGTCATAAAATTTTCGTGAATAATGTAGTCTCGAAGTTTTATAAGATACGCCTTATTAAATAACTATGTTTTAAGTGTAAATTATGCAAAATTGTATATTTATAGATTTTTACGGAGTATAAATTTCCAGGGATTATACATATTTGACAACTTTACGCTAATATTCGCCTCATATAATCTCCTGATAATTTTGCCGATTCGATTTTCGATGTTTGATTAATTAATCTATATAAATTTATAAATAATTTCGCAACCAAGTCAGCAATTTCGAAGTTCGCGGTACTACTTAATACTTTTTATCTCTTAAAATAATGTAATTTATTTTAATATATTAATTATTTAATGCAAACTAACAAGAAATGATTATTTCAACCCTACCCGTATATTTTTTTAAACTTGAATTTTATTAATATTATAATCTGATGCTCCGAGATAGAATAAAGTTCATTAGTGACGTTATTAACATACTGTACGCACAATGTTCCAATGGTTTGAGGAGATTTTAATATGGAGTATTTACAGATCATTTTCGTTATTCAAATTAACTAAACTCTAATAACCGCCGGTTAACTTTAAATAATCAATTCGAAAGTTTTCATTTAATATTACATTATTATTTTTTTTCAAATATAATTTTGTGTCAGCTTCAAAATTGATTGAGAATATTGATAAATCTTTTATACTTGCTGTATATGTAAGCATGTTTATAGTCATAAAAAATTTTCAACATAATAAAAATAATTGTAAAGTTTTGAAATTGTAATTTGATATTTTATCAAAAAAAAATTATTGTGACACATAGTAAAATCAATTTACCTAATTCTAGAATAACATACAGTATTTCTATTAAAAAAAAATAAAATGTCTATGCTTTTTTTGATTTTATTTTAATGGACGAGGAATTTGAAATCAATTTGAATAATTTGAATGCAATTCCTCCGATAAGTGTAAGAAAAATACCTAATAAAGCTCCATAAACGTCAAGATTATTTGCTTTGATAAATCCCATTCTAGACGGAGCAGGTGCCCATTCTTTTAAAAAGTCATCATTAACATATTCTTCTAAGCCACTACTATGTAAAATATATTCTATTAAATCAGCAGCTCTATATTTTCTTCTACTGTTGATTTTAGTTAAAACTTCCATTTTCTTTATATTTTTTTTTATCTTTTCATCTTCTAATAAGATACTCATTTTGTTTAAAATATCACTAACATCTAAAGCTAATTCATTTAACGTTAATGCTACACCAGCTGATTTTAATTTTTGAGAATTGCCCATCTGATCGCCACCAAGGGGTAATACTAACATAGGAGTACCAGTATAAAGAGATTCATGAGTACTTCCTGCGCCCCCATGACTAAAAAATAATTTTGTATTGGTGTGATTAAGTACAGCGAATTGCGGTACAAACTTTGTAATATGAATATGTGGATGTTTATTATTTAAGATTGGTAAAGTTTGCATTTGTGTACCATCAGTTAATTTTAATGTTGGATAAAAATTATCTTTTGATGTTTCAATTAATGGCCAAACTACACCATCAACTATTTTTCTGTTGATTGCTTCAACAAATGATTGTAAAATTTTGTTGTTATTCTCAGTATTTGTAATAAAACGTGTACCAAAAGCTACGTATAAAACTCGTTTGTGCGTATTTATGAAATTAGAGAGTTCGGGTGTAAGTGGAGGATATTCTTTTGATAATACTGGTCCAACTTCCTATTAATTTGAAAGATGAAAAATTTAATTTTTTTGTAATTTAAACAAAATTACTTATTAGTAAAATATAAAGATAATAATTACCTGGACATTTGGTGGTAAAGGTTGCGGTAACTTTAAGATAAAAAAGATCATTACTTTGTGAAAAATAACTCACATTATTTATTAATTATAAAATAAATTACCTCAAAACCGAAGAAAGTATCAACCAAAGATAATGAAACTTTTGGCATTTGTCCTGATGATGTATTTATATTCATTAGTTCTCTTATGTTATTCAATTGATGCGCAGGGGGTCCAATCCGACCCATCGTATAAGCTATTTGTAAAGGTTGTATTAAAGCACATCTAAATCTCTCAAAAAATGATTCATTTTCTAATGAGATGTTACAGCCGTATAACGGATCATTTTTATATGGTACAGGATCTGTAACTATATAAATGAAAAAAATTTTAATATGTGATTTCTTACTATTAAAAAAAAGGAAGAAAATTTGATTATTTATAATTACGTTGAAGACCCGAAGACCAAACAACAACAGGTTTCTTTAAATTATTGGCAATATCTATGCAAGCATCATTTCCCAGAACGTCACAAAAGAACAAATCAATATTATATTCTATTGCGGCTTTCTTATATTTTTCATAAGTTTCTTTGTAGCCGTTTCTGCTTATTTCTATAAATCTTGAAAACCTTTTATAATGTTCTTCATAAGTAATTGTACGTCTTAATTCTTTGACACCCAATCGAGGTCCTAATGTAATTTGATTTAGACCTGGGTACTCTGATGATGGTTCATATCTTCCTGATGCTAGTAATGTTACCTATGTATACATCAAGAATATATATAATAAGAGAAAGTTTAGAAACAGATGAGTGATAAACGATTCAAAATCATGCATGTTGAATAAAATAAAAAGGCTCTTACGTTGTAACCTCTCTCAATTAATATAGCAACAACATCTAACATTGGTTTTACATGACTTCTTCCGCCAACATAAGAACCAAGTAAAATATTTTTAGGTATTCCCGAGCGATCAAAATCATCTTTTATGGGAATATAATTTTGTGTCGTCGCAGTATTAACATTGACGTAAAATATGAGATTTAATAAGAGTATCAATAAAGGTTTTCTTTTGATCATTTTATTTGATTGTTATTTGATTGATATTTTATTTGAATATTATAATAAGCTTTTTAATTGTAGAAAGCAGTATTTATAATTTTTAATCTCCTTATATAAGTATTATTAGTTTTTACTTTTTTACGTTGAAATTATTTTTTAATGAAATTTTATGTAAATAGAATCATTGCGTAGTTATTCTATTTATGTAATGTAAGACAGAGATGTATTTATACCTTGTATGTAGACCAAATAAGGAAAGGCCTAGACCGTTCTATTGTGTACCACGTATTGACACGTGAACTTTTTATATGTGTTGTTTTACAATACCCTGGTTTCCATACATTATTTAGATATTGTTTAATTTATATTTCATTAAACTTCCTTCACAATTTTCTTTTTTTGTAGTGTTTTTAGTTCCTAGTGCTAGTTGTAGCGTAGTTTTAGTAATGAGATACGTAGTTCCAATTACCTGAATAGTCTATGTAGTTTCCTTTGAAAGCGCATGCTGTTAATGTACTAATAGACAACGCTCACTCCTCTTCTTGAAATAAATAATAAAATAAAATAAATACACTATTTAGAATATTCTCGATAAATAACGTTTCACAATATGATCTAACTCTGTCATATTTCTTTTGATTTACTGTATTATATTATTTAATGTGATCTACTAAATCTTAAAAAAAAATTTTAAGATAGAATAATTTTGGTATATCTCTGTCGAAAAATGATTTCAGCGGCTAAATTAAATGCCCGATTACTAAAATGAACATTTTTTTCGTACATTTCATTCATGGAATAATAATTCATATTCCGATATCCTTCAAAGCTATAATAAATACATAAGATAATATCATGTTTATTTGTAATCATTGTATTATGATTATTCTAGCCTCTTTTTAATAAAAAAAATAAATTATACATAATTAGCAATTTCAAGATAATTCAGATTATTATTAAACATAGAATTAAAGCCAATGTAGAACGTTTCATATTTACATAGTACAAAGAAGATAAGAGTTGGAACTTGTTCCCTATAAATCGTCAAATTAATTAAATTGATTATTCAATAATCTCCAATCACTGTAAAAACATATCTTGATATCAAAATCATTTACTGTAAAAAAGATCTCGATTTATTTATTTATTTTTTTACAAACTTCTGGAAAAAAGGATATAGATTTTTTCTTTTCGCTTTGTAATATGGCGCAATCACATGAGACTTAATTTAATTTTAAATAAAGGTTCTTTGGTATAAAAAAGTCGATCAGACACGTCCTTCGCAATAAATAATCAAACAAATATATATATATAATAGTATATATTTTTCGTGGTCATTTTTAGAACAAGATCACAAGTTAAAAAATATTTAGTGTATCAATATATTAATCGGTACTTGTCCGTTCGTTAAATCATAAAATTTTATCGTCTGTTTACAATCAAATAACTTATTACTGTAATAAATAAGGTTTATTCGGATACCACGATGTTTTAAAAATAGAATTCCTTTTTTACGATTATCGTTCAAATATCAATATGTTCTTATTATGATACTCGATAAATAAAGTATTTATTTATACCCTAAAAGTATTAACCAAACATCGAATAAGATTGCTAATCTGGTTAACTGCAAAAGACGGGCCGAAAATGCTAAGAACCGCACGATTATATAGGAATTAGAATAGATTAAGTTGAAATTAAGAGAATCAAAGATTTTGCGCAGCAATTTTGAAGATCGTGGTACTAAACAATTTTAATAATGTATAAATTAATTATTTAAAGCAGATTTCTATTAAAATATATTTAAAATATACTTAATTTTCTTATTTTATACTTAAAATTAAAATTGTATTTGTTTATACTTAAATTTTACTTCAGTATATTTTATATATTTAAGTAATAAAATAAAATATAAGCATATTTTAAATATATTTAAGTATATTTAAAAAATTTTTTTTATGGGGTTTCAGCCCTATCCGTATGTTTTTTGGTTTTACTAATATTGGATGTGATTTTTAATATGGCGTAGTTACAGATTATTTTCGTTCAAATTAACAAAACTCTTTCGGTGCACTGATTGTGCACAACAGCTAATAAACAGGCCAACTTTAAATAACCAATTCGAAAGTTTTCATTTAATATTACGTGAATATAATTTTGAAAATTGATTGAGAATATTGATAAATTTTTTTATATTTAAGTGTAATATGAATGTTTATAATCAAAAAAATTTTTAACATAATAAAAATAATTGTAGAAATTTGAAATTGTAATTGATATTATTAAAAAAAAATTATTGTGACGTATTCATAACATAGTAAAGTCAATTTACCTAGTTCTATAATGATAATATTTCTATTTAAAACAAAAATAAAATGTCTATGCTTTTTTTGATTTTATTTTAATGGACGAAGAATTTGAAATCAATTTGAATAATTTAAATGCAATTCCTCCGAAAAGTGTAAGAACGACACCTAATATAACCCCATAAACGTCAAAATTATTTGCTTTGATAAATCCCATTCTAGACCCAGCAGGTTCCCATTCTTTTAAGAAGTCATCATTAATATATTCTTCTAGACCACTGTTTTGTAAAATATATTCTATTAAATCAGCAGCTCTATATTTTCTTTTACTGTTGATTTTGGCTAAAACTTCCATTCTCTTTAAATTTTTCTTTATCTTCTCATCTTCTATTAATTTACTAATTTTATTTAAAATATCATTAACATCCAAAGTAAGTTTATTTAACGTTAATGCTACACCAATTGATTTTAATTTATGAGAATTGCCTATTTGATCGGCACCAAAAGGTAGTATTAACATAGGAGTACCAGTATAAAGAGATTCATGAACGCTTCCTGCGCCCCCATGACTAAAAAATAATTTCGTATTGGTGTGATTAAGTACAGAGAATTGTGGTGCAAAATTTGCAATATGAATATGTGGATGTTCATTATTTAAGATTGGTAAAGTTTGAACTTGTGTACCATCAGTTAAGTTTAATGTTGGATAAAAATTATCTTTTGATGTCTCAACTAATGGCCAAACTACACCGTCAATTATTTTTTTGTTGATTGCTTCAACAAGTGATTGTAAAATTTTGTTGTTATTCTCAGTTGTTGTAAAGAAACGTGTACCAAAAGCAACATATAAAACTCGTTCGTGTGCATTCATAAAGTTAGAGAGTTCTGGTGTAAGTGGAGGATATTCTTTTGATAATACTGGTCCAATTTCCTATTAATTTGAAAGAACGAAGAAATTTAATTTTTACAATTTTACAAATTTCTTGTTAATATAAAAATAAAAGAAAACAATTACCTGAACATTTGGTGCTAAGTGTTGCGGTAACTTAAAAAAAAAATCATTATTTCTTTGAAAAATAATTCAAACAAAAATTACTACATTATTTTATTAAATATTAAGTGAATTTACCTCAAAACCGAAGAAAGTATCAACTAAAGCTAATGATACTTTTGGCATTTTTCCCGATACCGGTTTTATATTCATTTGTTTTCTTGCGTCATTTAATTGACGCGCAAGAGGCGCCATCGTATAAGCTATTTGTAAAGGTTGTATTAAAGCACATCTAAACCTCTCAAAAAATGATTCATTTTCTAATGAGATGTTACAGCCGAACATCGGATCATTTTTATATGGTACGGGTTCCATAACTATATAAATGAAAAAACATTTCTTTAATATGTGATTTTTACTATTAAAGAAAGAAAGAAAATTGATTATTTATAATTACATTGAAGAAACGAAGACCAAGCAATAACAGGTTTCTTTAAATTATTGGCAATATCCATACAAGCATCATTTACCAAAACGTCACAAAAGAACAAATCAATATTATATTCTATTGCAACTTTCTTATATTTTTCATAAGTTTTGCCGTAGTCGTTTATGCTCATTTCCGTAACCTGTGACAGCCCTCTAAAACCAGAATCTTCATGGATATTTACATTTTTCAAATCTTTGATACGCATTGGAGGTCCTAATGTAATTTGATTTAGACCTGGGTACTCTGATGATGGTTCATATCTTCCCGCTGACAATAATGTTACCTATATATCAAGAATATAATAAGAGCAAGTTTAGAAACTTAGATAATAATCGACCCAAAATCACGTTGAATAAAATAAAAGACCCTTACATTGTAACCTCTCTCAATTAATATAGCAGCAACATCTAACATTGGTTTTACATGACTTCTTCCGCCAATATAAGAGCCAAGTAAAATATTTTTAGGTATTCCCGAGCGATCAAAATCAACTTTTCTAGGAATATAACTTTGTGTCGTCGCAGTATTAACATTGACGTGAAAGACGAGATTTAATGAGAGCATCAATAATAATAAAATAGGGTTTCTTTTAATCATTTTGATTGTTATTTGATTTATTTGATTGATATTTAGTTTGAATATAATAATAAGCTTTTTTTAACTGTAGGAAGAGGAATAATTGCAATATTTCTAATTTTTGATCTCATATAAATATTAATTTTTTTACTTTTTACGTTGACCATTTAAAATTATTCATTAAAAAATGAAATTTTATATAAATAGTAATCATTGCGTGTATGTAATTCTATTTATGTAATATAAGATAATGATGTGTTTGAAAATTAATTTCGGCAAACAAATATGCTTCATATTTATCAGCAATCAGCAAAATGACAAAATGATCGGTCATTGCTCATTAACACTAAACTTAATGAAAAAAATGATCTACCCTTTAATGGACAATCGCATTGTTACCGATTGACGAATTGACAATGAAAGGTGGAATAATATATAATTAAGACTAAATTTGTTGTAGTTCCTGTTGAAAAAATTTCGACGGATAAATTAAATGACCTATTTTACCGCACACGGAATAATTCATATTCCGATAACTTCAAAGTTATAACAAATACATAAAAATAGCAGTATTGTAATCGGCTTTTCTAGAAGTTTAAAAATAAATTACATATGTTCAGCAATCTCAATCTAATTCAGATTATTATGCATAGAATTGAAACCAATAGAGAACATTTCATATTTACATACTGAGAAGATAAGAAGAGTTGGGACTTGTTCTCTACAAATCTTTAAAATTAATTAAATTAATTAAATTAATTATTCAATAATCTCCATTTATCAATCACTGTAAAAAAACATATCTTGTCAATAATTTATATCACAAAAAAAAACCTCGATTTATTATTACTACTATTATTATTACAAACTTTTGGAAATAAAGACCTTTTCGCTTTATAATATGACGAAATTACGTGAGGCTTAATTTAATTTTAAAATAGAGATTCTTATAATCGGACACTCTACTGTTAACATCTTCCCTATAAAAAATTTTTTAGAAAATTGATCACATATCGGAGTTTTTTTGGAATGAAAACTCATTTATCGGAATTTACCCAGAAAATTTTTTATAGGGGCTTGCGTCCTTCGCACAAAGCTCTTTTGTCATTGTAAAAAAATTCTCAGCCAAGAATAAGCCACAGTAAATACAAAACATATCCTTATTTTCGCGGTTATTTTTAGAATAAGATCATAAGTTACAAAATGTCATTAAGATTTGTGTATTAATAATATATTAGTCGGTACTTGTCCGTTTAATCATAAACTTTTATTCAAATAACTTATTATATAATAACAAGGTTTATTCGGATTTTGCCGATACCTTGTTCTAAAAATAGGAATTAATTATCGTTCAAATATCATTGTGTTTGCACATTTTAATACTCACCAAATATTTACACTCCAAACAGTACAAGGTTACTAATTTGGTTAAACTGCAAAAGACTGCCAAGAGTTTTAAGTTAAAAATGTGTGGTAAAAAACGAACCATGTCGGACAAAATCGGTAAAATTTCGGTCCGGAAATTATAAAATTAAATTAGTGTAAATCTGGTAAATCACTGGATTGCAAATATTTTATGGTAGTACAGTACACGAAAGCTTTGTTACCATAAAAAATTCAATGTTGATCATTTTATGACTAAATCTATATCTATAAAAAAAAGCATTGTGCGACCGTGACGTTAAGACTACCGTGGATTTAAATTGGATCATGTGTCTGCGCCCTGTGCTACAGATTTTTATAAGATTCGGAGTGGCGCATCATTTGCTATTGATTAGCTTAATTGGGCAGACCCTAATCCCAATACAATTTTAATTAGGCTGCATAAATGATTGGCGTAGAACAAATTTACAGCAACGAAATGAAACTAATCTAATCAGTAATTGTAATATAAAATAAAATATTATAAAAAATTTATTAAGCAATTTGATCGTGACAATGAAATTCTTCACATGAGAAATCATCATTGACTTTTTAGAAATCGTCATTGTTGTTTTTAAAAAAAATTATTTTTCAGTTTTTTGAATTTTCTCATACGACGAATTTTCTAATTTTCAGTTTTTTTTTTGGATTTCCCACACGAAAAAAAAATCCTTTTCTTTTTTTTAAAAATTTTTCTTTATAAAAAATTACCCCTTTTTTAAAAAAAATTTTATGCTTTAATTTTTAATGCCTGTCCAACTATCAACAATCCTTATATTTCAGAATATAGGGAGAAAACATCAGGTGAATTTTTCATAGGAATGGTCACTGGACACACAAGACTTGAGGGTAACTCAGTTGCCCAAGAATTTAATATTACAGTGTTTTATCCTCTTAACAAAGAAAAACAAACCATGCTATGTACCAAAATTGGAAGAGGGACAAGTCTTATCTATTGCAAATTCAAAATTTGCAATTGGACCTGTCGATAATCAAATTGATGTAAGAAATTACTTTATTTTAATTTTTTTAAATATATTTATTATTCTGTTTTAAAATTAAATTTCACACTATATTATACATATATTATCTGCATGTGTATCCAGTTAATCTTAACCACTGCTACTATTTTACCTATAAATGTTGTAGGCACAGCTTCGGTATCAGATTTAGTACTTACTACGAATCTTGGTATACAATTTGAATGTACTGGTAAAGATAAACCAACTGAGATTCCAATCACATTATTCCATCCAAACGAAAGCTGCTTAAAAAGCCAGACTACAATGTTAAAACGTGGTTCTTCCATTTTTTTTTCAGGTGCTTTAACATCAACTGAGGAAAGTTTTATCCAGAACTAATTTTATTCGTATTCAACAATCAAATTTTATATCAATCTACCAGGAAAATGCCCTGGTCTTCTACATCATCATCATCATCACCACATATGATAGCCACGAGATCTGCAATCCATAAAAAAATTGAACAATCCGCACCTGTACTAGGAAAACATGAAATTTCTACAAAAATTTTCAGCCAACTTAATTAACTAAATTAACAAAATTCTCAGATATCCACACTCATAGTGACTGAAGAAATTCAAGTGCGGGAAGAACAGGAAGAATCTGCATCTATACTTATTACACCTGCAACTATACCTGCAACTACACCTCCATCAAAAAAACGCGTAGGCCATGCAAAAGTTTAATAATTTATTAAATTATAAATATTTTCACATATTTTATCCTGCTGTAATACAAAAAAAAATTGTTTTTTTTTCTGTAAATAAATTTGAAATGAGATTTAATTAATTGAGTAAAGAATACACAATATTTTTTTTCAACTTTTCTATGTTACAAAAAAAAAAAGTAATAGCAGAATAATAATATATTTAACGTAAAATAAAATAATTAAAAAATGCAAAATTGTTAATCAACAGGTTGTTTGTCACCAATTCATTCATTAAATAATTATTTTCCTGTTAAAAAGTATAATTACTAAAGGAAATAGGTAGATCAAGAAGAAAGTTAGACATGTTAAAGTGACTTAACATTATGTAGCTTTTTAGGCCAACAAGATCATAATAATTTGTATTTTAAAAAAAAATTCTTTAAATAAAATAAAAAACGTATTTTTTTAAAAAAGTAAATTTTAGTGGTACATGGGATGTTTCTTTTTCTTTAAAAAATAAATATCACATTTTTTACTTCATATTAACATGTCAAAGTTCTTGCAGGTAATGGTGAAACCTGCCAAACAAAAACATTGTCTATAATGAAATATTTCATCCTATTTAAAATAACTACTATAACTATTATAACTATTATAACAACTAATTTTCATAATTTTAATTAGCCAGGCCCGCGTGAAACGCGGGCATCCAGCTAGTCATTAAAATAAGAATTTATCTAATATAAAATTTTTTCATACTTTGAATAAAAACACCGCAAATTTTTCATCTGACTAATATAATTTCCTTCAACTTACAAGCGATGTTACTTTTAATATACATAGTTGTCTTTCGTGGTATCTCAACAGACACTGTAAGTCTGTAATAACGTATAAAAAAGCAGTTACTAAATACATAATAACGAAAACTAAACTATTTAATTATAAAGGAATATAAACTACAAATTAAAATATAAGATTAATAAAAAAGACGAAAAAGAGTGGACAAATAGAAAAAAAACTACCATGCTATTGAACAAGTCGATCCAAGGACGATTCAATATTAAAGAATAAAAAAAATACTGTTCAAGAATAAAAAATCAAAAAAATATGAAGAAATATGATACAGTATATTATGCAAGTTGAATAAATGATCTGCCTTATCTGTTATGATTATTCAGTCAATTTACAAACGCTCCGAGTGAAAGTAGTCATCGCCTATACGTGATCATGACCACATGATAATCGCTTGCAAATATTATTAAATATCTAAATTATTGGAATAATGGAATAATGGATCTAATATTGCCAAAAAAACAAAGTCCATAAGTGACGTTATTGACATACCGTTTATTTTAATTAATCCTGATAAGAATTTTCAGATTATGGGCGTTCTTAAGCACTTAACTTAATGGATTCAGGTGAAGAAAATTTTTATTAGTAAATTAGTTGAGTTCATCAGTTCAGTCAAAAACTTTTTTGTTACAGACCACCTTTTTTTTCATTCTTATCCATAGTACTTACTTCATCTGATCGTAATGAATCTCAAAACTCATTGAGGGAGATCCTGATAACGCCCTAACCTAACCCTTTGATTGTACCAAACATTTAATTAACCGATCAACCCTAAACAATCAATTTAAAAGATATACATTACAATTAATTTAACTTTGAGAATTTTGAGATAACTTCAAAATCGTATTGATATTGAGAATATTGGTTTTTTTTGTACGTAATGTCTTATATAAAAAAAATTTTTATTTAATAAATATAATTTGTTTTTACAGTATAGTATATTTTATCTTATTTCACTATGTAATTCATTTGAATAATATGTAATTGTAATTGATTTTTTTAAAAAAAAATTATTGTGGCGCCCCAGAACGCAGTAAAATCAATTCACGTCGATACTAGAAATTATTTATATAGTCTATGCTTTTTTTGATTTTATTCTAATGGACGAAGGATTTGAGATCGATTTGAATAACTTGAATACAATTCCCCCGATAAGTGTTAGAACAATACCCAATAAAGCTCCATAAACGTCAAGATTATTTGCTTTGATAAATCCCATTCTAGACGCAGCAGGTGCCCATTCTTTCAAATAGTCATCATTAATATATTCTTCTAAACCACTACTATGTAAAATATATTCTATTAAATCAGCAGCTCTATATTTTCTTTTACTGTTGATTTTAGTTAAAACTTCCATTCTCTTTAAATTTTTCTTTATCTTCTCATCTTCTAATAATTTGCTCATCTTATTTAAAATATCATTAACATTCAAATTGTACACACTTAACGTTAATGCTACACCAGCTGTTTTTAATTTTTGAGCATTGCCCATCTGATCGCCACCAAGAGGTAATACTAACATAGGAGTACCAGTATAAAGAGATTCATGAGCACTTCCTGCGCCCCCATGACTAAAAAATAATTTCGTATTGGTGTGATTAAGTACAGCGAATTGTGGTGCAAAATTTGTAATATGAATATGTGGATGCTTATTATTTAGGATTGACAAAGTTTGAACTTGTGTACCATCAGTTAAGTTTAATGTTGGATAAAAATTATCCCTTGATGTCTGACCTAATGGCCAAACTACACCATCAACTATTTTTTTGTTGATTGCTTCAACAAGTGATTGTAAAATTTTGTTGTTATTCTCAGTACATGTGAAGAAACGTGTACCAAAAGCAATATATAAAACTCGTTCGTGTGCATTTATAAAGTTAGAGAGTTCTGGTGTAATTGGAGGATATTCTTCTGGTAATACTGGTCCAACTTCCTATTAATTTGAAGAATGAGCAAATTTAGCTTATTGTAATTTTACAAAATTTCTTATTAATATTTAAATAAAAGACAGTAATTACCTGAACATTTGGTGCTAAAGGTTGCGGTAACTTTAAAATAAAAAAAAATTATTATTTTGTGAAAAGTAATTTAATTAACATTATATTATTATTATAGAATAAATTACCTCAAAACCGAAGAAAGTATCAACCAAAGATAATGAAACTTTTGGAATTTTTCCCGATGGTTCTATATTCATTTGTTTTCTTATATCATTTAATTGATGCGCAAAAGGCCCCAATTTACTAGCTACTTGTAAAGGTTGTATTAAAGCACATCTAAACCTCTCAAAAAATGATTCATTTTCTAATGAGGTGTTACAACCATACACCGGATCATCTTTATATGGCACAGGATCCATAACTTATACAAATGAAAATAATTTTTTTTAATGAGATTTTTTACTATTAAAGATAAAAAAGAAAATTTAGTTATTTTATAATTACATTGAAGAAATGAAGTCCAACCAACAACAGGTTTCTTTAAATTATTAGCAGCATCTATGCAAGCCTCATTTGCCAGAACGTCACAAATGAATAAATCAATATTATATTCTTTTGCAGTCTTCTTATATTTTTCGTAAGTTTTTTTGTAATCATTTGTGCTTGGTTCCAAAATTTGTGGCAGTCCTTTATAATCGAATTCTACGTTATTTTTAAAATTTTTCATGTTGTTGCCATTAACTTCACTAAGTCCTAATGTAATTTGATTTAGACCCGGGTACTCTGATGATGGTTCATATCTTCCCGCTGTTAATAATGTTACCTATGCATCAAGAATATAAATAGGAGCGTTTAGAAACTTCGATCCAAAAACACGTCGAATAAAATAAAATCCTTACATTGTAACCTCTTTCAATTAATATAGCAACAACATCTAAAATTGGTTTTACATGACTTCTTCCACCAATATAAGAACCGACCAAAATATTTTTAGGTATTCCCGAGCGATCAAAATCATCTTTTCTAAGAATATAATTTTGTGTCGTCGCAGTATTAACATTGACGTAAAAGACGAGATTTAATAAGAGTATCAATAATAAAATAGAGTTTCTTTTAATCATTTTATCTGACTGATTGTTATTTGATTTGTGTTTTATTTGAATGCGAAAAGTTTCTTTTTTTTTTTAATTGTGGGAAGCAGATTATTTGCAATGATTACAATTTTTGATCATTATAAATAATTTTTTTTTTTTACTTTAAAAGTCGAACGTTTTAGGGGTATTCATTAAAAAAATAAATTTTATATATACAGTAATCATAGCGTGTATGTTATTCTATTTATGTAATATTAGACAAAGATGTATTTAGAGATAAATAAAAATGTTTCATATTTATCAACATAATGACGATAATGATTGAAATTTACCGATTTGACGAATTGAAAAAAGTATCATTTCATTATGGCTTTTCTTAAAAAAATTACATATAATTAGTAATGCAGACGCAAAATATAAATCAAATGGTGAACTTTTCATCTTCATATGGAGAATTGGGACTTGTTCCCTATAAAAATTTTAAACTAATTAAATTATTCAATAATCTCCATTTGATAATCACTGTAAAAAATATATCTTATTGATAATTTATTCATCATAAATCATTTTTTTTTTAAAAAAAAAACAATCACGATTTATTTTTATTTTACAAACTTTTGAAATCAAGGGCTTTAATTTTTTTTCTTCTCGCTTTATAATATAGCGAAAAAACATGAACCGTAATTTAATTTTAAATAAAGGTTCTTATAATCGGACACGCTACTGAATAATAGCTCTTGCGTCTTTCGCATGAAGATCTTTTTTTGATTGAAAAAATAGAAATAAGAATCAGATACAGCAAATGTAAACAATATCCTTTTTTTCCGTGGCTATTTTTAGAATAAGATCACAAGTTACAAAAATATCATTAAAATTTATTGTGTGTATTAATAATTCGCATGGATTCCGATACCTTGTTTAAAAAATAAAATTACGACTATCAGTCAAATGTCAATGTGTTTGCATATGTTCTTTATTATGATACTCGCCAAATATGAAATATTTATATAACCAAACATCGAATAAGATTACTAATTTGGTTAACTGCAAGAAGATGGATCGGGAGTGCCAAGAACTGTACAGTTAAAAAAATGTACAACAAAAACGAACCTTGTGTCGGACAAAATTGGTGGAAGTCTTGATTTCGGAATTTGTATTTCGGAAATGATTATTTATCATAAGATAATTGCTCTGTTATTTGCGATCCGGATAGCCGTAGACAATCCGCCGCGGATTGAAAACACAAATTTATTCGTCATGGACTATCTATTACGGATATCCGTTTATCAGAAGTCAGCATTTAAGTCACGTGACTCCGCATTTGGAACTGTGAATTGTCTTTAAAAGTAAAAATAAAAAATAAAATTGTTTCTTACTATATACCATTGTATAATAACGGATAACGGATAATCCGACGGATAATGCAACCAGAGAATTATCTGTTATCTGGGTTCGGATCGGATATAAGGCGGATCGCCGGATGGATGATTTCTCCATTTAGATTACATATTTTATTCAAAAAATAAATTATATGACATATAAATTGTACGGTAGTACAATACAGAGTGGGTCGAGTTTGTCAAAATTATACAAGTAAAGGAAATTTTGAAGTTATTTGTTGGATATAATAAACATGCGTAACTCGATCAATATTACACATGGTGTATTTTTGTAAACAAACGTAATATATTTGATGTTCGAAGTAAATTGAAGTAAATCATTAACGTTTTTGTGACCCAGCAATTTTGATGATCTCACGGCACAAAATTTAACTAAAATTAATGATATTATCTCTTACAATAATATAGAAGTGTTTCGATTGTTTAAATAATAATGCATTAATTATTTAAAAAAAATCATTTTCAAACCAGTTTTACCCAAATATATCCTCTATATTTTAATTATTCATCAATGGCGTTATTTTGCATGCATCGCTGATCTATTTTTTTGACAATTCCGATAACTCCGATGACTCAGTTTTCGTTACGGCTGAAATTTAACCCGGTGCCCATTAACCGGTCAACCTTTAAAAAAATCAATTTAATATTGTTAAATAATTTTTTTCAGATATAACTTAGAGTCAGAGAGATCGTTCTTGATACCATTGTCAACAATTATATTTGTATTTAATGTACATTTTATGATAAAACATAATTTTCAACTTTAATAAAATAATTTTTTTTGGTATATTTTTATTTTATTTTATTTTATTTTTAAAAGTAAGAATTATAGAATTATAATTAATGATATTTATTGTGTTCCAATCAGGACGCAGTAAATTCAATCCACATGATCACCTTAATGTATTGTATTTTTAATGTTAAAGGTTCAAACTTTATTCATTATCTTTATTTATTTATTTATATTTATTTATAAACATATAAGAGTACAAATACATAAAATAGATAACTATTCTAGGTACAGAAAACTCGTTGTAACTTCAAACTCTTCCTATTAAAAAAAATGCCCATAATTTAGGCCAGAATTATAAGTTTTGGCCAGAATTATAAATGAGATTACAAATCACATGATATTTATATGATGTGATTACAAAAATTATATTAAACTCTGCGCTACGGCCGAAATTCATATCTATTTGCTAAAATTAATGATTATTCTTTCTAAAAAATCCTGACAGTCTCATTTTTATAAATTATAATTAAGTTTAAGTTTTTGGGATTGTTGCAGTGCGAAGTAATTATTCTCAAATGTCTCATGCATTACTGTAAAATAATTACGCTGGAATAAAATACTAATAATGTGTCATAAATAATTTTCCACATTACTATTAAATTTATATCCTTATTAATCTAGCTATTTATAAAGACTGGGCATAATTTAAACACTCATTGATGATTTTTCCAAATCTTTAAGGTCAGGGAATACTTTTAAGATTTTTTCTTCGAGAGCTGTTTAAAGACAACTTATTTAGACGATCTAGAACGAAAGAAGTAACCACCCTCAATTTCAACTTATAGGAAAATATTTTAATCAGAAATTATATAATCGGACTTTTTATTTACTTATTTTTTCTTAGTAAGTTATTTTAAAAGAAATTATTTATAAGTTTGAAATTTTTATTATTATGGCAGAATCCTTTGGTAATGCTCATTATGGAACATCGAGAATACTATCCTGATTATCCTTTATTTTTATGGACACAGGAACCGGGTTCTTGAACATTATTTTTGGTATCAAGTAACAGCTGATTTTAACTTTATGAATTTTATAAAATTCAATGTATCGAGATTCACGTGCAGACAAATTAATACGCCAATCGAACATCAGCCGGAGGTAGGAATTTTTTTTTTGATTAAAATATATTTAATAAAAATTTACAAAATATGTATATTTAGGTTACGTTACGTAATTGATATTGATGGTACTTCTCTTCCTCATGAAACTATTGAATATTTGTTTATTTGAAGATGACTTTAAAGAAGTAATTCATGTTGGATAACTTATTCGTCGTATTGAACATTCGTCAGATGATCAGAATAATAGAAATAGTTGATGATGACGACAATATCAAAATTTAGCTGGTATAAAAATAAATTATTTAATATTTATTAATCACTTTTATTTAAGAATCACGGGTAGAAATAGAAAATGTTGGGACTGCTTCATTTGAAGTTTCTCGGCTCTTATCAGATGAATCGGATGAATTGGATGATGAATCAAATATAAGAAATGAATCTGCAAAACAACAAATATTTCATTGGCAACTTTTCCCGATTTGCATTACGTCAGACAAAAGCAATTTGAAAGGTTGTTCCACTATTTATGCCTGAAGGATTTTTAATTGATATTTGAAAGATCACGATACTTTTACATGGTATTCAATAAATACGTTCAACAAGCAAGCACTAACTGAAACTACTGAAACAACTGATACTTAGTCTTAATAACACTAATCAATAATTATTGAATTGACAAATGTTCAGGAAAATTGTATAAATCAACGAAATGAACGTTGGAAAGGACGTAAAACTGTAAAAGACTCGTGACCGTTCCGATAGCTGTTGAAACTAATGGTAATGTTTCTTTTATTGGCATTGTAAAATTTAAGTGATATTTTGTAATACATAATGATATTAGTGATGCAAATGTATCTAATTTCCATCCTCTAATTTCAGATGGATACTTGACAGACGAGGGGATAACTTTTTTTAAAGATATTTTGAGAATTATTTAATCATGTATTTATAAAATTCATAAAAAATAATTTTAGTGTATAATTATGGATAACTTACCGACGAAAACTATGATGTCATTGAACCATGTTTAATCATAGTTGTATTTGCTGAAGTACGTACATTTTTTCTTATGTAATTCAGGTAATATATCAGGTGTTTCTTAAGTAATATGAGTAGGATTCCATAATGAATTAATTTTATTTATATTCGTTACATTATAATACAATCGGATTTATTTAATTTTTCCTTAATCACAGCGTTTCGTTATCTACCGTACCCGTGCGAAAATCATTTCCGTTGTTTTATACTGAAAATCTACGAACAAGGAGAATTTGTTATTTACAATGAATTTCTAGTGAATGGAAGAATAGGCTCAAGAAGGTAAAATAATTTGGAGATGAGTGCCCACAGAGTGGCGACAAAGGCGACATGCAAGAGTAGTGAGCACGAAAATGCTGCGACGTGACCTGTGGAAGAATGTTCACCAAGAAGGTAATACATCGTGGAATTACGGTCAATAGAAGGAAACACAAGCAAACTGAACGTGAAAATAAGTTCAATTATTGAAAATTAGGTTCGACATACGAATTTAGTAACATTTATATGGCCCCTTATGAAAGGATGGCAAGAGAATACGGGGTAATTTTGTGACATCACATAATAATAATAAGTTTATTTCAATAAATTAATTTTAGTCTCATTGGATTTTATGTAGATATTAATTTAGATTTAAATTTTAAAATGTAAAATTAATAAAATTTATTTTCAACTAATCGTTTAAAAAGTTGTCTAATAATATAAACCATTTTTTAGAGATTTTTTTTTAATTTAGAACGCAGCAAAATTTTTATAAATATTTAAATTAAATATAATTCATATGATAGCAACGGTTAATAAAAACCACTTTTTTAGCCAGATTTCTTTTCTGGCGTAATTCATATTATTTCAGACTTAATCAGGACCAGTCAAATTCACCATAGTATGAATGAACATCATATCTGTTGGTACCACATCATCAGTAAACATATGTACTGCCGTGCAATCATACGTTCGCAGGATATTCTGATTCCGTTAATTCCGTTAAATTATTTATAAGTATAGTTTAAGACACAAAGTAAAGGGGCTTGGGTATAATCTCGAACTTCAGGTTACATCAGATATGGTTAGCATCATTTAACCATCAGCAAAAACGTATTGTCGTGATTATCAAATCTTATGGTCAACTTTTTCGTAAAATCAAATGAATGGACGATCATCCAGTTAAATTACAACAATAATATACGATACAAAATGAGCATCATTGCTAAAAACGCATAATTATTTGATCGTTTTACATTCATCTAAAAAAATGGGTCGTTCATTCATAATAATTTGATCCTGGTTATAGATTTTCGACTTTAATCTAAAAAGCACGGTAAGAAAATAATTGTTAGATTATGACTAAGCCCCTAGAAAATCAATCATAATCAAAAAAAAATTTTCGCCTTTTTGCTGAGATAATGAAGACAATGAAGAATAAGAAGATTCTTTATTATTGTGAATTTCTTTTATAATTTATTTGTTTATTTATTTATTTTTTTTGATAATCTTATTATTTTTTGCACGGATATAAAGAATTATCAGATTAAACTTTATTATACGCCTTTGTTTGAAAGATGAACGAATAATCATTTATCGTTAATAATTTTAAATATGGCTTTTCATTCATTAGTTCATTATCTTCCATATGGCGTTTCTTATAGTGTTATTCATAAATGTTAATGTTTAAAACTTATATAAGAAAATTTCTAATTTACGGATATTACTAAGCTTTTATAAAAAATTTATAAATTGGGCTTTTCCAAAATATCACCTAAAAAATTCTTTCGTATTAAAATTACATTCAAAAGACACTTAATAATAAAATTAATAGAAAATTTCTATAATTTAAAAAAATGCTTCTAAAAGAAAAAATATGTATCCCTTTGATGATTAAATTTTATATATATATAAATTGGATAAATTTTACCTCAAAACCATCAAAGGGATTAATTGATTTATTATCTTTTTCCGATCGCACTTGAATAAGTGAATAAAAGAATGAACACAAGAGCGGAGTAGAGTAGAATGTCCAGGAAGGGGCAGCGTGCTAGAGGAGTCAGCACCAGACGTGACCTGGGGAAGGATGGTCACCACCACCTTCTTAGAAGGATGGTGGTGGCATTGGATCCTGTAGTTCTGGTTCTGCTGAAGAAAGAGAGATGAAAATTTGGGATGCTGCTTTGATTATCCGTAGAATTATCACCTATCTAGGTTAGATAACATGTTGGAAAGATCAGTAGTGGTTTTTCCCTTTTACTGATTGATGAAAATACCTCGGAGTTTTTTCACCTTCGGTAAGGTTAAAGAAAAAAGATAATAAACAGTAACAATCGACAACGATAGTTAGCAAGCGGTAATTTAGAATTATTTTTGAGTTTAAGTTTTATTGTGGTAAATCCTTTATTCGTGTCTGATTGTTGCATGAGGCTTAGAGATGGGTGGATAAGATCAAAGAGGCTTAAACAGGCAAAATCTTCTGATGACTGGAAGGAAAAATTGGCCGGATGGTAAATTTGTCCGATAAGCAAATTAGTACCGGATTTCAGACGAGACCTATTGTGGAGTATTTTACCGAGCGTTGCCGGTACTTTACCGATGGATGACGATCTATTACTGTAAAATGATAATTTAGTGATTAAAATTACGGGTTTATCACAGGATTGCCGATCTATGTTTCAAATGTTTTCAAATGATTTGATATGTTGAATATGTCAAATATGTCAAATATAGTAAATAGAATATATATATTTTATATAGTTCACATAGTATATATATATGTGATATGTTAGATATAGTTAAAAATATTATAAATAGTGAAGCATTTGGATTATTCATTATTTCTACATATAGTTTATTTATCGATTATATACGCATATCTATATACCTTCTGCTTACCCTTTTCCTTTTGTTACGTTTGTAAACGTTAAAGAACTGGCTTAACAATATTATCTTGCTGATTATTAACCGATCCTTATTTATCTTTCTATTACTACCTAACCGAACGTTAAAAACCGGTGGTAACAAAATTATTAATTTTTATTTATTATATTTGTGAATTCCTTCTTCATATATCTATAAAAATATACTACTTATTTATAAGCGTTCAAAAACTGATGTCAACAATATTTCATATTAATAATATAACAATATAAATTCTTTATACAAATATTTCAAATTATTTAGATTTAAAGTATATTAAGAAAATAAAATTAATAAATTTCCTTAAACAAGGCAAAATTTTGCGACATATTTATTATATGATTTCAGTTGTAATTATTATTGAATGTAAAATATAACGAAGCTTAGTATAAGTTAAATTAGAAAAGTTTTGGTTCTGCGGTATAATAAAACTTTTTTTTAAAAAAATTATAAGAATTATAAAGACTACTTTTTAACATTTTTAAACATTTACCAAATATAATCTTTAATATATAAAACATATACTTAAAATTTTGTGGAGTGATTTTTTAATAGCGTTATTAAATTCATGTTAAACTTTATTAGAAAGCGTCATATAATTATTATTCTAGGACTTTAGTTCCAGAACTGAATTCGGGACCGGTTCCAGCAGGAACAGTTCTAGAACCGGTTCCGATTCAGATCAGAATTTAATTTCAATTTTTTTAACATATCTTACAAAGTGGCTGTGCTACATAAAAATTTCAAATTTTTTTTTTTTTCAAAGCAGTTTCCGGACCAAGTAGGACCGGTGTAGCACAGTGTGAATGAGCGTTTATTTATGAAAAAATTGTGTCAAGTCGACTATGCAAATGTTATCCTATATCTTGCAAGCTATTGATTTTATAGTAAACTTTTATTCTTTAGATGGGTTTCGTGAAATTTCCTGTATTGTGCAGAAAGACTTTCTAGGCGAATTGAAGGTAGATTTTGACGAGTTTCTTTTTCGTTCGTGATTTCCTTTTTTTTTTAACAAATAATCTTTATTCTTCTTGTACGGTTATATGAAGGTGAATTCTTTTGTTGTTGATTAATTTCCTTTTTTTTTTAGCTAACCTTTTATTTCTCTTTTCTTTTTAGGTACAATAACTAACTAGCGAATTGAAAGTATAGTTTGTGGTTCTTTTATCTTTGCTATGAGTTGCTTCTCTTTAATCTTTTCCTTATCTACTTTTTTAGGTACGGTTACATAAATGAATTTCTTAAAAGTGATTTTTGTTTCTCTTTTCTTTCTTTTGAGTTTTCTTTTGTCTTCTTTTTTAGGCGAAGTTACGCTAATAAACTTTCCCTTCTTTCTTAGGCACGATCAACTTTCTAGGTGAATTGTAGATAGGTTTCGGCGGGTTTCTTTCCTTTTGTTGTGAAATAATTTTTATTTCTCGTGATCGGGTTATACGGCCAGACGAATTGGTAGTGAGTTTGGGTGAATTTTTTTCTCTCTATTTTCTTTTTAACCATTCTGGATCCTTCCCAGTGGGAGTACAATATTTCATGATAAAGGAGATGATAAGATAGCGGCGGAAGTTGAGAAAATAGAAATGATGTAGTACAAAGAAGCGGCAAGTGCGCAAATTCAATAATTTAAGTCAAACATAAAAGAAAATAAAGTGAATGAAACTGAGAACAGTTTATTTATAAAGAAAAATTAGCTGGGAAGAAGGATTGAGAACATTAAGGGAATATATAAAGAGTCAAGATACACATAAGGTACATAAAAAAAAATATTAATGTAGAGATTGTAGATAATCTAACAAAAATGTATATTTGTATACATCAAAAATGTTTAATATTTCGGTCTTTCTAGATAGTTTTAGCTTAGGCTTTATTTACATATGTACCTTAGTATGTGTGCGTGAGTGTACGAGAAATGTTGAAAAAAAAAAATGTTTTTTTCATAAATAAATAGTTATGTCATTATATAGTAATAAATTTTATTAACTTTTTTTTTTTAGAAATAAAATACGAGAACTTCTAGCCGAAGTGGCTCTTCTGACCTTAATAATAGGCTACCGCAAATCCTAATTATTTTGATTACGTACTATATTGGATAGTGTGATTTTCATATGATGTATGTTAACCATTTACAGAATTTGTGAAACCATTTTTTGATATAAATTTGTCGCTCACGCTAAAAAAAAAGCTTTAAATAAAAAAATTTGTTAAATTTTAAGCAATTTAAGCAATAACATCATGGCTAATGAATGCTCAAATTCTGAAAATTTATTTCCTGCTTATAATCAACATGAGGTTGTCGAAAAACTTGAAACTTGTTTCAAAAAATTAAATAATAAATTCATAGATTTATTAAAATCAAAGAATTAAACAACACAATAAGAATCTTCAAGAAGAAAATCAAGACATTCAACGTATTAATTTAGAATTAAATGAAAAAAATCAAGAAATTTCACGTAATAATTTAGAATTAAATAAAAAATATTATCAGGAAATCTCACGTAATAACTCAAATTTAATTAAGGAAAATGAAAAAATTTTACGTACTATAAATAATGATTTAAAAGAAAAACTTCAAAATATAAATGAACAATTTGAAAAACTTCAAAAGGATTTAAATTTGGAAAAACAAAAAAATAAAGAAATTCAACGACTTGAAGTAATTTCTCAAAATTTAGAAAAAAATTTAAAAATATTGGAAGTTGACGAAATTGATAATAATACTATTAATGTTTTTAAAGAAAACAATGAACAAAAAAATTGTAATATTAACAATAATCGAACAACCTTCGCTTTAAATTATAGTAAAGGTATCATATGTGGTAATGAACTTTTTTTAAAAATTTTATTAATAATTGATTAAACAAAATTAAATCGATTTTTATACACTTTTAAAGGGTTAGATGTTAGGGTTATAGTCGGATTAGATTTTGGAGTAACATATTCTGGATTCGCTTATTGTCATGTTAATGATGATTATCAAGATATACATACAAATGATATTTGGCCTATGGTAGCTGGTCGGTTCAAAACAAATACAGTTCTTCAATATGATGATGAATTTAATAATGTGTTTTATTGGGGTTGGGTGCTCAAACTTTAAGACCAAGTAAAAATAGAAAACAAAATAGTGAACCCGTTAAATTGTTCAAATTATACCTGGGTGACTTATCAGATAATTTAAAACCAAAACTTCCGATCGATTACAAAAAGGCTATTACTGACTATCTTAGAGAAATCGGAATGGTATGAATTATACTGTAATTCCAATATTATTTCAATTTTAATTTTAAATTTCTACTTATTTTAATAATAATTTTTAGGTCATTAAAGGACTATTGAATGCCGTTGGGGTGGAATTGACTACTTTGAAGATGTATTGTTAGTACTTACAATTCCTGCAGAATATTCAGGTTATTATAAGACAATGTGTATATAATGCGGACCTCATTAAAGATAGAGATTCAGAAAAACTGCAATTTACTACAGAATGTAAGTAGATTTTAGAAATAAGACCTTAATTAATTTAATGTGATTGATTTTTCTTTATTTACAGCTAAAGCTACTGCATTATATTGTGTGAAACATTGTTTTAAACGTGAAACAGGAGGCAAGTTTTCATTATTAATTATTTTTAATTTAAAGAATATTCAAATAATGTTCATTCATAATTTTTAGAGACATTTATGTTTGTTGACTGCGGTAAATATACTACAGATTTGACTATTCGTAAGTTAGATAGAAATAATCCATTGCATATAGATAAAGTTACAACATACAATAAAGACTTCTGTGGAAGTAAATTGATTAATGAAGAATTTATTAAATTTTTACGTGAAAGACTTGGAACTTGTGCCATAGATCTATTGAAAGAAAATAATTATAATAAACTACAATACATGGTCAAAAATTTCCATCAATATATAACAAGTCATTTTACAGACGATGATAAGAAGTTTCAGTATGGATATAGAAATCGAACCAACTTTACTACAGTATGTCAGTGAAGAAACTAGAGAGATTATGGAATATAATGAATTGATCATTAACATTAAATATGATGATATAAAAAAAATGTTTGATACTCTTATTGATAGAATTATTCGTTTGATACATATACAACTTTTGAACGATAAAGAAAATTGTTCTGCAATATTTTTAACTGGGGATTTTTGTGTAAACAAATATTTACAAAATAGAATAAAAGAAGAATTTAGTCACCAAGTGAATAATATTTCAGTTCCTGTTCATCCAGAAGCAGTAATTTCACGTGGAGCTGTAATTTATGGATTATCCATAATATCTTCAAAAGTCCTTAAATATACTTATATAACCGGAGAAGCGGTGATGATATCACTCATAATGAAAAAAATTGTAAATTCAAGACTTTGGTTGAACGAGACACTAAAATTACACCTGAACAAACTTTTTCCTTTAATTTTGAACCTGAATCTAATCAGGCACGTGGAAGTTTTGCAATTTACTATACACGAAAGTACAATATAGAGTACTGTGATGAACTAGGAACGAAACTACTTGGGATATTAAATATTGATCTTTTAGGTAAATCTCAATTATTTAAATAATATATTTAATAGAAATTATATAAATTATAATAATTATAATTAACTTTTTTGTAATCGTTATTAGACTCTGTACATCTCGATAATGGAAGTATTAATTTCGAGCTAACCTTTGGTCAATATGAAATTATTGCTTCTGCAAGGAATGAAAATGGACAAGAGCATATGACCACTTTTTGTTACCCAGCAGATTATGATTTTTGATTTTGTAAATAAATTAATTATTTCATATTTGGCCATAAGATAATTTTTATTATAAATAAGTTTACGATTAGAATAGTACTTTTAATTAGTTTATCAAACGTTTTAGTTATACTTATGAAAGAAATCTGAAATTCATGAAATGATAGTTCCTCTTAAACTATCACAGTTTAAACAATAGAGATCTAAAAGCTGTGAAAATTATATAAGTTGGTAAGCAGAATTAGTGTTCACACCTTTAAATTTAATATAAAATATCAAAAAAATTTAATGTATACTGTACACACATATATATAATATATATTTATTATAGCGTGATATAATTATATCGTATGTTTATTTTTGTATTTCCAAGAATATATATTGATTAGAAATATCTTTAAATTTATTTCACTGTTTATATACAATGTCCTAAATTACATAATTTTCAATATATATAAAGAAAAAAATCAATAATTTATAAATAAATATAATATTTACTCCTTAACAGATAACCCAATTATGGTTATCGAAAATTTTACTTCCTATGATAAACGCTTCGATCTTGGAATAATTTGCGCTTTTATAAAAATTCTATCACTCAATTTATCACCAGTAAATATGCCGATGCAAGGAAATCCACAAATTTCTACTTCCAATTTTTTAGATTCATCATTTCCAAAAGCTCCTTTCATGAGATGCGGTTCCAAAGCTTGACCGGCATCGAAAAATTTATAGGTTGGTACAGAAGCTTGTGTTTTAAAACTAAAATAAAAAATATTAATAACTTTATGAGTTATTTGAATAGCTTGATCATCCATTTCACTTTTAGTTTCTTCATCTACAATTTTTCTATATTTATTCATCTTATACAACAATTTACTTGCTGTGCTTTTGATTAAAGAGTGATCACTTGGAAAGCCACGATGACTAAGAGCTGAATAAACATTCTGCCGAATTTTGATTGGTGTAATCTTAGTGGTATCGTCTTCTCCCTTCAAATTTTTTTCAAATAATATTATCTGATTAATTAAGGTTTCGGTAGTATTTACGATATCCCTCTCAAGAGTCATCTCTTGATTTTTAGAAAAGCCATTTAAATATTTTTCAACTTCTTCTATAATTTTGGCAATTGTAATCCTTTGAAGTAAAAATCCCAAAACAAGGCTTGCTCGCGAACTAGGACAATTTACTTCGCATTTAAAAGCTCTTAAAAGAGAATTTGCCTCATTGTTATTTATCTTATAATCACTTCCTTGAACCATTGTGAAATCTGTAAGCATATCTTGTAAATCTGTAATGTCTTGAATCAATTTTTTTGAATTATGCGACTCATCATCGTTCCAAAATACATTTGTTAAATTATCAAGAGCTGCCTGTTGTTTCGAATTTTCTTTTATTAATTCTTTTACTTGAGTTTTTAAATTCTCGTTTTCTCTTTTCTTAAGTTCTTGAGTATCTCGCGACTCATCTTCAAGACTTACTGAATTACCAATTTGTGATTTATTATCGGCTAAACCAACTATTTGATTTTCCAAACTTTTATTTTCACTTAAAATTAATTCTTGATTTTCATCTTTCATCTTATTATTAAGGGGTACTTGTTGTAATTCTTTTGCTTCTTTTATTTTTCTTGAAAATGATTGAAAGGATTTTATCCTAGATAAAATCATCGCTCTTAACTCTTTTTTTTGAAATAATGAACAACGGCTTAATTGTTCCGAAACCGCATAAGAATTATTCTTTAATCCATGGTTTTCCAATTCTTTCCAAACATTATGAACTAAATTTTGTCTAAAAGTTTGACTACTTAAAAAACGATAACCTTTGTAATCATCTAACATTTTAGAATAATTATTATCGTTTTCTTTTGAAATATTTAACTCCTTGATAATTTGAATTAAATTATCAGTTTCTTCCCTTAATTCTTTTGAAAATTGTGCACTATTTCGTACTGGAATAATATCCCAAACAAGAATAAATAAACAAATATAATTCTCAACTGTTTCCAAGGAAGCGAACCACATAAATAATTGCCAGTTATTATCACTAACTGTATCTAAAGAATATTCATTTTTAACGCGGGTTTTAATAAATTCTTGATTTTGCTTTTCACTCCTTCGTTTTAAAGGTGTTTGGCTTGACGCCATAATTTTTAAATTAGTTGTGGATTAAAACAATAAACGTAATTTTTTTAAAAAATTTTTTTTATATATAATAAATAGGGGTACTATGTGGTACGTTACATTATATTACGTTACGTAACTTCTAATGTTCGGCTGACATGTGATTACGCAAATCCGCCGATATATTAGTATGATTTTTATCAAGCCAAACTTCTTTTAAGATAAAATCCAATAAATATAATATTGATAATATTGAATATATATAGTATAAAAGAAAAAAAAAATTCAAAACATCAAACAATAACTTCGAAATATTTACGATCATTAAACTTGAATAAATTTTTATTTTAATTTTTATTTTATTAAGAAATACTCACTTTCTAATAAAAATGACCTTGTATAGTCCTTCGTTACACTTTGGACTAAAAATGATTTATTTTTTAAAAATTCTTAAATTCTTCACGAAAAGTTATAGAAAAAAAAAGTTAATGAGAATGGATGATATTAGAATTCTTGTCGCAATAGATTTTGAGACTATATACTCTGGAAACGGTAATTATGTATTAATTGGCGTAATCAATTTTTAACTAAAATAAAATTCTTATGAAATTCAACTCTTTGATGACACAGTAATTAGACCAAGATCTGAAGGTGTCTCAAAAGCATCTACAGCACTTCAATATGATGAAGGGCATAAAAAAATCACCAGTTGGAGAATTTAGTTTTAGAGGAAGAATCTGGTGAAATATTAGATGATACAGAACATCCACGTCCTGTTGAATTATTTAAGTTACATCAAGAAAGAAAGGATAACCTTGGTTACCGCCTCAATTATATTATTCAAAAGCTGTTGAAGTTTATTTAGCTCAAATGAGGAAATTAATTCAAGAAACTCTAAAAAAAAAAGGACGATGCCCTACTGTTAAGTTTCCTCAACAAGTCGATTTTGTATTAACAATTTCTGCCGAATGGGTACGTGATAATTAAATCATTTATTTTTTTTATTTTATTTCATTTTTTTATTTTGATAAAATACTTAGTTTGTTTATATCATATTCGTAGCCTCCATACACAACTAAAGTCATGAGAGAATGTGCATACAAAACAGGCTTTGAATTCACAAGTCACAACGAATTTACAACTGAGCGTATGTGAGTATGCCATTAAATTAATTATCCTGATCGTTATATTTATTTTATATACTTTCCTCAAGATCATAACCATTACAGTATATTCGTTTCAGCTGAAGCTGCAGCATTTCATTGTCTTAGCGTCATGAGAAACAAAACTTACAACCTTATGGTATATTTTCTTTTCTAATATCATTCAATAATATTTTAAGTTAACTGAAATTAATATCATTTTTAAAAAAAAGATTCATTTTTAATAGCTGATTGCGGGGTGGTACTGTTGATTTAACTTTACGAAAACTTCTTCTGGAAAATAAATTAAGTGAAGTTACTGATTCGTATTGGTGATGTTCGTAGATTAAGAATTTTTACATTGGCTTGGAAGAAAAGTCGAATCTAAAGCTTTAGCAAAAATTAAAAACAGATGATTATGGACAAATGCAACATTATTACAAAGATTTTTTTGCACCCGTATATAGAAAATAAAAAGACTATAAACTTTATAATAAATCTACAACTATATTGTCCTAGTTTATCACAATATGTCGCTGATGAAATCAAAAAACAAACAGAAGAAGTGGATTTATATTAAAAGTTGATCATGGAACTGTTAAAGAAATGTTCGATCCCGTGATTGATCGAAATATAAATTTAATTGATGATCAGTTAAAAAATTTTTCGAAAAAATGCTCAGCGGATTAAGTCTCCTTATTTATTTGAACCATTTGAACATCAAGTTCCTATCATCGCTGCTGTGCCAACTTTATCTATGGCAGCAATAGTTCGTGGTGCCATTACATATGGATTTAATATTGATATTGTACATGATCGAATATTAAAATGGACACACGGAATTGAAGTTTGTCGCTCATAGGTAAGTTTCTTTTTTTCTTTTGTGTAATAATAAAATTTTAACAAATTAATGAAACTACGAACATTTATTTTCAGGTTGCTGATGATAAAAAAAAAGGATGGAATGTAATCTTTATTTTCATGAATTTGCAAAACGTGGTAGAAATGTTCAAGTAAATTAAAAATTTCGGGAGATGTTTATCCAATAAGACCGAACCAAAATATTAGCGTTCAAAATTGATGCAAAATACTGTGGATGATCGATATGAGATTACCAAAAATCATTATCCGAAATCACGTGTAACCCGGCAAATTAGATCCAAATATATATCACGATATTATTTATTATTTAAGCTTTCTTTTCTATCAAGAATACAAAATTGTTTTTAAAACAATGGCTATGATTTAAAATATTACGGAGCTAGAGGTATTAAGTAATTCAAAATTTGCCGAATATATAAAAACTTGTATAAATAAAAAATTGGCAACCCGATATCTGTAAATCGTTAAGTGAAATACTTATGAGGTCTTACTTCTCATATCGAAATTTGCTTTGATTTAACTAACCTGTTTAACAAACTTTTTTTAGTAAATCTGATCAGTATTGTGATTATTGTTCATTTTATATAGTATATACAAGTTAATTAGTTATAATTTATAAATAATAAATAAAAAAAATTATATAGATTTGTACAGTCAACTCTTAATATAACGAAGTTGGCGTCCGGGTTGATCAGGCCTTCGTTATAGGAATATTCGTTAATATGATGGGAAAATCTGGTATAACCCGGAAAAATTTTGTATATTATGGTATATTGTCGTATAATAATTGTATCTTATAATGCAAAAACGCAAGTTACACAAAATATCTTCGTTATATTGAAAAAAAATTCGTTATAAAAGAAAATTCGTTGTTAAAAGGNCCTGTCTCTTATACACATCTAGATGTGTATAAGAGACAGGTATACGGCATTTAATTAGTAAAATTCGGTATAATGAGATTTTTTTCATATGTTAAAATCTGTATCATACTGAAGATCCGTTATATTGTAAAATTCGTTATATCAAAATTCGTTATAAGAAGAGTTGACTGTATATATAAAAATTTCAGAAATCAGAATTTTTAGAATATGAAAACTGAAAATTATATTTTGTAATGAAGAAGTTTATCGATGAAAAATGTTCGACAGTATTATTAATTAGTTACCACGTAAAAGAATAGTCGCTTTGTAAAAAAAAAATGAATATATAACGATAATATATTTTTCGTCCCATGATAATAAAAGTTCTTTATATATGGTATGAAATGTTCTTAAAACGTAATCCTCTTTGAATCGATTTGTATGATTTTGATATCAATATAATAAATGATAGGTCGTTAAGATAAAAGTAGTCCATTTCTTAAAATTACGTCCTTGGAGTATATGAATCCAATTCGGCGACGCTATCGTCACCTTCATATAATCTAATTTTTGTCAGCCTTATGCTGAACATTCATTTAGATATTTTGTAGTCGTAGACTTATTTATTTTCCAAGTTAAACATCATTTTTGGTTTTATTTTTTAAATAGGGTTAAATTAGGCTCTTTAATAAAGTGGTTCATGATGTTACAAATTGCAAAATCCAATTAATGAATTCAAAGTTAAATATGAAATACAATTACGAAAAAAACTTATAAATTTTTAAGTTATTTTATCAATATAATAATATTAAATTTCAAATGTAAATAAATTCGTAGTTCATATCATCGCAATTAAGCATAATTTCTTATTTTAAAAAACGACGACAAAACAGTCATTAAATGACTTATTTTTTTTTCAAATAATATAAAGATATAACTGACGCTTTATTAAAAAAATTGATTTAAGTTATAAGAATCAGGACATTTTTAGATAAACAAACGAATTTATTAAATAATATATACTACATTGTAAATCTGTAACGTAAAATAAAGAAAAATATACTATTTTACTAATAAATAAAAAAGAAAAAAAATTTAATATATCTGCACGAAAATAGTCCATTGGCGTTGGCGTAAAGGTAAGTAAGTATACAAACTTTCGTTAACATGTTGGAGCGAATACAACAATTGCCGCCGTAGACGTCATAACAATAATGATATCCGTATTCCGTATGAGCACTTAAATGACTGTCGATTTATTGCTAAATTTACCATCTCCCTTATAAAAATTTATTCTGTTTTTTATTCCATGTTATTTCCGTAAATGTATCATGTTCACGGAATTTATATTCTCAAAACAAGGAAATTAACGGAATTTTTATAGAAATTACGGATAAAATTGTTTTACGAGGATTCTATACATAATACATTTATATTTTAATATTATACATTGGAATATGATTCCCTATTTTTAATGACAAATTATAATATATAATTACTTTTAATTTTCTTATAGGATGGATATATTAAGCGCTAAAAATTATAATTGATAAAAATAATCTAGTTGAAAGTAAAACCAAAAGTGATGTTATTGGCACATGCTGCTTCAACCTAAAATATAAATTATTGTATATTATGAATAATTTCTTCTTTTCTTTTCTTTTCTTTTCTTTTTATATATGTAACATGCTTATTTATAGAATATTTTTAATTAGCAGAATCTTAAATAAATTACAGTATCAAAAATAAAATTAGAAAAAAAAGAATTACTAAAAAGAAAAAATGATCGAATAAAAATTACAGCAAACAGAAGAACGAAACCCCCTAAGTTGCATATCCTTCAAATATTCTATTTCTAAAACAATTAAAATTGAGACCCTTTCTTCTATTTCTCCTTATATTCTTAGTTACAAAATATCAAATATTTTGCAAAATAATGTTAAGTAATCTCGGCAAGAAAAACTTATAGAAATTCATGGAAATATTACAAATTTTTTAAGGTTAGAAATAAAATAATAAATTTATTTGTGTATATTACTCCAAAGAGAATAAATTTTAAAATTTAGAGATGCGATCCGGATAGCCGTAGATAATCAAAATTATAACTACCCGTATATCCTATTATTGTTTCTAGTGCATAATAGCGATAACGGATCTGTGACAGGTGATGCAATCAGAAAATCATCCGTTATGGTTTTATGGTTTCGGATCAACTATTAAAATTAAGATTTGTCTTCTTTTTGAATGTAATTTTATTCTTTTGGTGATAATGAAACATTAATTTTTTTTTGTATTGTCAAGTTTCGCTTGATTGGATGATTACGTGATATTACATAAGTGTGCAAGTGATATAGTCCCTTTCTTATTCAATGTTAACTCATTCATTTTAATTGATGAATGAAATTCTTGAACGATAAAATTTGACTAAGTTACAAATTCTAAGCCGTATTCGTCATAACTAAGCAAATCCAGATACAATGAATTAAAAATTTATACATATAGGATTATTCTTTTTCTTTTTTTTTAAAAAAAAAATAAATAAATAAATAACCTTTACATAAATTTGCATAAGATTTCGAATCACACTCAAAAATTTTTACGGATTATACAATTTGGGAAAAGCGTAAACTTTGTTTTTTACCGAAATTGTGTCACTTAGTAAATTTTTAATAATCGACCAAAATTATATCTACCGATAAAAGCCGAATTTCCTAATATAGAATTATTATTAAAATATGTGCTACAGGAATACTACCTAGTAAGGACTTACCCCATATACCCCATAAACAAATAAATGAATAAGGTAAAAAAAAAAAAAAAAATTTTAACGCCACACTAATAAAAATCCTGAAAATTGTTCATTGTAAAATTTCCTAAAAGAGAAATATGTTTTTACTAACCAACTGTCGAAACTTATTTGTTACACGTTCCCAGTCGTTCCCTAACAATTTAAGGTCATAAATCTTATGAAATTTAAAATACATAATTTAAAATATTATGATGGCTACTAAATATTGAAAATTTCTTGATTTTAACCATTTGAATAATAAAAAATGCTAATCATACAACATTTATTCGAAATTTATACTAAAAAATAATATAAAATTCAAACAAATTCTAAACAAATATCCTATGATTAACCCATTTTGGCACAAATTTAGCACAAACTTTTTTTATAGGATGCAGTCAGTCACCGTCAATCCGGCTTCCTCAACAATAATAACAGATTTCATCCAATCAAAATTATTAATAGCGTAAATCTCGTAATTTTTTGGAGGCAACCGTAGATAACAATAATAAGAACTTAAAAAAATTGCAACCGCCCCATCCCATCCGATAAATACCCAGTAGCAAACATATTGAAATCTTTTTTTTACATATGTATGTAACATGTTTACGTTATAAAATAATAATAAAATCTTAAATAGTTCATGAAAATTTTAAAAGAATTTCCAAAAAAAATATCATGAATAAAGTTATTGTAACGTTGTAACGAATATTGATTATTTGGCGTGAAAAAATAAAGATTTTTATGGATCATTAAATTCCGTACTAACTCCGTCAATACAACAAACAAAGAAACTTTACCAATTTGAGATTATCTAATACTTTTCATTCTATTACATCATTCTTTTTTTTCGAATTCATTATAAATAGCGTGCTCAATTCCCTAACTTTACGCTCAGTTATTTCACGATAACTTCAAATAAATAACTTTTATTTTCAAACAATTCCAAATTTCACGATAATTCAAGAAAACTTCCAAACAATTCTAAAATCATCATGAAATTCTTTACCTTATTACTTGCTCTCGCGATCGTAGCTTTCAGCACATTCGTTGCTGCTACGCCAGCTAAACAGGAAAAAGGCAGTGATCATATTAGTAGAGTCCCGTCAGCTATCGATAATCAAAAAAGAGACGGTGCATCAACTTCTAATTGGAAAAGAGGCGACGACATTAGTAGAGTAGGAGAAACTAAAGATAATAAAGATAATAAGAATAAAAGATCTTTGACGGAAAGACAGGCTAAGTGCCCATACGGATATCATTGGTGTAATGATATATACGGCGGTTGTTGCCCGAATAATACAATTTGCGCAGTTAATTATAAATGCATTGTACATTGCTAAATAAAGTTTTGTGCACCCACCTTTGGTTAACGTTAACACCAAAGGTCTATTTTTGCGTAGGAATGTTCTCTATAATTGTTAGAATAATGTTTGATTTTTATTTGAGTATTTAATTATTATTATTTTTAGTATTACTTAACAGTTAAGAATTTTTGCTTTTTCATGTAATTAGTCAAATTGTTCATATGTATTATTTAAATAAATAAATTCGTTTATCTTATTATTTTTCTTATACGATGAATTAAAAATGCCCTGATTCTTTGTAACTTTTTATTTTTTTTTTAATAAAATAAACCGATATATAATTGACGCTTTATTGAAAAACTAATTTAAGTGCAAGTAGGGATTAAAATATTTCCGTCTGTAGCTGTAATGAGATTTTATTGCATAATGCGCATATATTTTTGTAAAAAAATTCGAATCAATAAGTCATAACGGCAGTTTTAGTCGATGAATTTAGTGCTCCTACCGGGTCGAGTTTGGAGAATATATCCGACTCGACCCGGCAAAAATAGAAATGATCCGATTTTAACCCGACCCAAGTATATTTAATTCGAATAACCCGGGTTAGACCCGAAATTTTAGTAATTTTCATTGGATAATATTAGTAATATATCAAAAATATTTTTTCAAATATAATTTTTTCAGGTAATTGATCTACAAGATGGCACACAACTTTTTATTATTAAAATAAAACTAAGCACGAATTTATCAATTCCTGTTTATTTATTGCTTTATATTTGAACTATAAAATCGAAATTGTGTCACTTGCTTTAACAGAAAGTTGACTATATTTTATGTCTGCTAGGACTTTAAACACATGCATGCTCTAATTGTATCTGCTTTAAAACTACATTTTTTTGCAGCTATCAAATCGGTTCCACCGGAAAATACTCTTTCTACTGGAACGCTGGTTGCTTTATTAATCATCAAAATCAACTTATGTAATGTTAATAATTAATAATAATAATTCATACACATACCTGTAATTGCAAGGTGTCTCTAGCAATTTTCGCTAAGTGAGGATATACCTGATACTACCTCATTCATCTAACAAAATTATATAAACATAATCAATATTAACGCGTAATCAATATGTGATCAGTGATTTTAATGATCATCCGGGTCTAATTCGGGTCAAAACCCGAGTTAAGGAAATGAATAACCTGACCCGACGGGACGGGTCATGCGGGTCACGGGTTATTAAATTGTTAGTACCGACCCGATTTAAAATTCACTCGGGTTGAATTATCTTAGACCCGAATTTTGCGGAGCACTACATGAATTTAGTAAAATTTATACATTGCGCTTTCAAATTTTATTAATAAAAATCTGTATTCACATTGAGTAAATGGCGTCTGATGAATATATTTTTCTTAAAAAAAAAATAAATGAATCACTTGCATACACTTGCATAAAATTCATTTTAAATCCATTGTTGTTTTCTTTATTATTATTTGATTTCAACGATACAGTTTAATAAGCAAAAATTAAAATATTATTATTATCGAACATTTATTTTTATGCAATTAGATCAATTAACTTATTATATGTTGTAATAAGACTCAATTTTCTTTTTAATAATTCTATTTTTTCTAATTTTATTTTGTGATACTGTAATTTTAAGATTTGTTGTTAAAAAACAATTCTATAAATAAACATCACATAAAAAAAGAAAAAAATATATAATATACAATAATACATTTTACAAGCTTGAAGCGGTAATCACTTTTGGTTTTTAAATAGGGTTAATGGTAATTTTAAGTGCTTAATTATTTTATGCTAATAATAATGTAATTAAAAATAGTAAATTTAAGAGTATAGGCATTGAAATATAAATGTATAAGGATTTTCAAAAAGTAATTGATGGCGTAAAAAACAACAACAATAATAAATAATTAGGTCCATCATTTCCTATTTTATAAAACGTTTCACGACGATCAAGTGATCTCTTTATTATTAAGATATTTTTATCGATTGTATTATTATATTTACAATTACATTAAATTTCAAATGTAAAATAAATAAATTCGAGATTCTAAAAACTAGTCGTTCGTTATTCATAAAAACGCAATTCATTTCCTGTACTGAAATAATCAATAAATTTCTTATTTCAAAAAAACGATAACAAAATAATTACTATTGTTTCATTATTATTAAATAGCCATTAAGTTTAATAAGCGTCAATTATGTATCCGTTCATTTTATCTTTATATTATAATATTAATTGAAAAATAGTAAAAGTTACAAAGAATCATTTTTTTTTACACAACGAATTAAAAATGCCTAAGATAAACTAATTTATTTATTTAATAATAAATATGATATCATTATATTATAAATCTGTAAACAAATAAAAAAAGAATTTAAATAATATAATGAAAAAGTAAAAATTCTTAAGTGATACTAATAATAATAATTAGAATAGTTCAACACTATTCTTTCAAATATAGAGTCCATTTCTATACAAAAATAGACCGTTGGCGTTGGCGTTAGTTAGGTACACTACAAACTAGCTTCGTTAACGCACGTATTAGAAGATGAGCAAACTGAAAAATTCGGGCAACAACCGCCGTAGATGTCATAACAATAATGATATCAGTATGGACATTTAAAAGACTCCATTGGACCGTCTTTTTTCCAACTATTTTATTATTTTTGACTGCTTTGCTAAATTTACCATCTCTTATAAAAAATTTATTCCATTTTTTATTCCATGTTATTTCCGTAAATGTATTATCATATTCACAGAATTTATAGTCTCAAAACAAGGAAATTAATGGAGTTTTTATAGAAATTACAGATAAAAATTTTTTACGAAAATTCTATTATACATTTATATTTTAATGTTATACATTGAAATATCCCTATTTTTAATGACAAATTATAATAATTATATATATATATAAGATATAGTTACTATTAATTTTTCTTATAGGATGGATATATTAAGCGCTCAAAATTATCATTAATAAAAATAATCTAGTTTAATCCTATTTAAAAGTAAAACCAAAAGAGATGTTATTAACACTTGTTACTTCAACCTAAAATATAAATTATTGTATATTATCATCGGGGAATTTTTAGGGAATAAATATCGATAATTATTGATCAACGAATTACAATAATTATCTGTGGTTAAATGCAGACAATTTACTATATTGATAATTATCAATAATAATCTCAAAATATTGATAATTATCGTAATTAATTATCATGTTAATTGACGATATTGATAATTATCATAATTAATCATCATGAGATAAATTTCGATAAAGTGATAATTATCGATATTCATCCCCTAAAAAAATTTCCCCCCAAAAAAATTAAAATACGATTATCAAGATCTTAGACTAGAATCGAACTAGTCAAAGCATAGACATGCTCTCCACCAGGATAAGATTTTAAAAAAATTCTGTTTGCTTAATCTTTTAAACACATAAGAGAAAGAAAAGAAACAGAAAAGAAGAGAAACACCTTAAAATATGGAAGAACTCTAGAGCTATGACCTCAAACACCAATCGGCAAACTCAGAGGGATGCTATGGCTGACCAGCCGGAAGACAGGGGCATATGCTATGGG